GAAGAGGGGCAAGATACAAATGAATGTAAGAGGAGTGGGGGATAGTGATGAGACCATTGAGGGTGGTGAACAGCTCCTGGTCATCCTTCTGAAGAGCAATGTAGGCCGAAGTCTGGATGCCGTTAATGACAAGCTTTCCACTGGGAGTCAATGGCGCATAGAGCCCTTCTTTCATGACAGTCTTGATTTTCTTGACCTGGTTGGCAGAACCATCAGCAGTCTGAAGCTTGTCTCCAACAATGATGGAATCAGCACGGACAGGGTGGCTCTTGTCAGCAATATAGAGCAAATGTTCACTGGTAATTTCAAGGCTATCGGTATCAGTGGTGATTTGAAGGAATCGCCCCAAAGTGGTTGGGCTTCGATGACCAAATGCATACACTGGCTGATATTCAGCTGTGTCAGTTTCAGTGGTAGTTTGCACCTTGTCACCCACCTTGAGTTTCTGCATCTCCACTTGTCCCTTGCCCAAAACCTCAACAGAAACAGTTGCGGAAAAGCAGGTATTATCCTCGTCAGGGGTTGGAGTTGCCTCTCCAGAGCTGCCTCCTCCTCCTCCAAGGAGCCTCCTCCTCCAGAGCCTCCTGAACAGAACATATCGGGGCAGTAGGCAGCAAGAACGCCCCCGAGCGAGTATATGTTTAAGCAGTCCATCAGATCTCGAATTTCAGAGGCACATGCATTACAGCATGATGGGTAAAAATCAAAAAAAATGTATTTGTAACATGCACACTCTGCCGGACCAGGAGGCACAGATACCGCAGGGTCAAAAACAGCGCCAGGGCAAACTTCAACCCACCACCACTCCTGTTGAGCTGGGGGCTTGCACTAGGCCGGTTCCTATGTGGGCGTCTTTGTACGTCTGAGGTACTCCGGTTCAATATGGCTCCGTTCAGCGGGTGGTCTATTGAGGTGCAGCCTAAATAATAAAACTTCGTATTTCCCCAAGATTCGCGGTTGTGGTCAAGCAGAAAAGAACGATGTCTGGATCACCACCACCACCACCACCACCATCATGAAGACTCTGGATTATCCGATGCGGGCCATCCAATTGACACACTCTGAGTGGGACAAGATGATGACCCCACTTTGGTCCACAGTTCTCCCCCGTGCAGGCTTCTCCACCAACTTCCCAAGGAAGGTGTTGTACGGCCCCACCGAGTTCCAAGGCATGGGAATCATTGACCCTTGGCTGCGGCAAGAGCTAGAACACATCGGCACTTACTGGGACAAAATCACGCGATTGGACACGCCAGGTCAGATCATGGAGATAGCCATGGAGCAATTCAGACTTGAACTGGGCAGTGACAAACCCATCACTGCGCTCCCTTACAAGCAGTGGGGGGCATGCACGACCCCATGTTGGATCAAAACAATGTGGGAATCCTGTGACAAACTTGGCCTCTCGATCGAAGATGCAACTGCCAAGCCCACACTGTCACGACAGAACGACAGATTCATTATGGATGCTTTTGCAGAAGCAGGATACAAAGGTGACATGCTAAGGCAGCTCAATGTGGCCAGAATGTACCGCAATGTCATTACACTCAGTGACATTGCGGACGCAGGTGGACAAAACCTACGACTGGAGAGCTTCCAAACGGTGAGAATTGAACCACACTTGCACAGCTTGGAATGGCCGCGCCAGCCTCCATCTTTACCTTCAGCAGTTGAGACCAATTGGAAAATAGCTGTGGAACTTGCTTCTTAGAAGGTGACACTGGGACGAATCCCAACAGGAGATTGAAACCACACCTCCATCTAGGACACTGGATACAAGACCCCCATACCACCTGGCCCTGGATGTACAACCCCGTGTCCCACACCTTGTACCACCGGGAAGGATTGCTGTGGCAGGAATACAACGGAATTGGAACCAGAACTCGATTGAAGCGGTTTCGAGCGAAGGTCAACCGTTGAGAGAAACTGGGAGGCTCGATGGACTGATGTTGCCCTACAAGTGACCCCATTGTACGGACTCCCACTGGCCACACCAGACCAACAACTCTGTGAGTACCAGACTGTTTCCGTTCAACGCCGAATCAACCGCAACCGCCCTACCCACCCAGAGGAGGTATCCTTCCAGTGGTCCTTTCCCTCCACCTCCCACACTGCCCCACCTGATGATGAGGACGACGATGAAGTCCCCCCCCACAATCCCACCCCTCTCAACACGCTCTGTGATTGACAAACTCCCCAGCAGTAACAAGTGGGCATTCCAGCACACCACCCTCCCAGAGGATGACGGTATGAAGGTGGCAATGGCAATCCTTACAGGCAAGGCAGTGGCAGTCAGTGATGGGTCATACAAGAACGATTCCGGCACAGCTGCATTCGTGCTAGAAGGCAACGACGCAGAAGGAAGAATCAACGGCGAACTGTGTGTCCCAGGTTCCCCAAAAGACCACTCATCCCTTCGAAGTGAACTGGCGGGACTGGTGGCTGTGATGCTGATGGTCCGCACTCTGGTGCATCACTTCGACCTCCCCAGTGAAAAGATCATCATAGGCTGTGACGGCCAAGCAGCACTGAAAGCACTGGAATCCATCTTTGAGCCAACCAGCAACAAAAGGGACTATGACCTGCGCGTGGAAGGCAGAGCAATCCTGAAGCAACTACGGAAGCGCAAAGTGCAAGTTCTGTACCGTTGGGTGAAAGGGCACCAGGATGACGACAAGAGACCCACTCGGTGACTCCGACCGGAGCTGCTGCGCAGAAACGACCTTCACCATGGTTGTCTGGACCGATGGGCTATTCTGAATATCGAGATGGACACCAGGGCAAAAGCACACTGGGATCTACACCAGTTCACCCCTTGCCCCAACATCCCGTTCACCCACGAACGCGTGACGATCAAGTTCAAGGGTGCGAAACTCGCGCGATTCCACCTGAGAGAAGTTCACACACTCCTGGGAGAAGCTTCCATCAAAGCCCATTGGAAACAACGTGAAGAACGGGTTCGCGATGTGCACTACTACTCCACCGAAGCATGGAACGACAAGTGGCAACGAACCAACTGGACTGCCCATGGCCGGGCATTTAGAAGCAGCCCCCTTGGCACACAACGTTGGGTAACCAAACACGCCTCAGGACACTGCGGGGTTGGACGTATGCAACTTCGAAGAAAGTGGCAAGACCACAGCAACTGTCCGCAATGCGGCCTCGAAGATGAAGACACTCTCCACGTGCTCCTCTGTGACTCCACCACTGCTACAGCGGAATGGAAGAAGCAAATGACGGAGCTGAACAAGTGGATGAAGACGAGGCACACCCACCCCAGACTCCGAACACAGATTTCCTCCACCTCAACCGGTGGCACCAAGGAGACACCACTGCCCCCAACACCACCCGATTGCCGACCTCCATCCGCCAAGCCATCGCCAACCAAACCAATCTTGGCTGGTGGAACTTGTTACTTGGCAGGGTCTCCCAATCCTTCCAACACATCCAAACACACCACCTGCAATGACTCAAGAAGAATGGAGATGGCCTGGCTTGGACCAGCGCCTTCATCAAACAGATCTGGAGCCTACACTTCAACCTTTGGACCAACCGAAATGAATCCGTCCATGGCACTACCCTAACTCCCACCCAACTATCCCAACTGGACACTCTACGCGAACGCGTTTGACAACAGTACACCCAAGGCACCATAGGCCTACTCCCCGTCGACCACTGGAGAGTCCACCCGGACACCAAAACCCACACCGTTACATTCACTATCGACAAGACAAAACGATGGCTTGAATCTACCACCCTGGCCCGAACCGAGTTCCAGAAGCAACTTGCTCCAGCGAATCGACAGCTCCAAAGGCAACAGCAACTGATGATCACACATTTTAGTCTTAATCCGGATTAGGCCACTGCGCCCCCGGTCACTCCACGAGGAGGCACTCACTGTGATAGTGGAGAAACAAGGACCTGTCCCCTCTCGTTGGGGACGGAGGTGAAAGACGAGCGTAGACTAGTCAGCTAGTCACCATCGTGCTTCTATGAGGTACATCCTCTTGTTTCAATGAAACTGAATGCTATTCCCCTCGTGTCGTGCGACCACTCACATAAACGACTCAGTTGCTTGGGCCCTAGAGCTCGATTCGTACCAGCGTTGACAAAGGTCCTCCGGACCAGATAGGTAGTCTGCCTAAAACTAGTAATTTTTATATATACGATGATACCAACGTTGAGTGATGGTGAAGTGCATTGACATAATGCATGATGTTATTGACATGCGGACCCATGGAGTGGACATTGTTGAAGTTGATTGATCGAGGAGAAACAGGTGTCATACTCCATGAAGATGACGCGTTTGACGGGGAATATAATGATGCTCTGTATGAGACCTGCAATGAACATAACCTCGGGGACTGTGGAAAGATCATACCAGTTTCGCATGATGCATGCCTCGACCCCGCAGAGTGCTATGGGGTGCATGTTCGTTTCCCAAGAAACTACACTGCATACCTTGAGCTGGTGTTTGGGGAGGAGAGATTCAATGCAACCCCAACTGCAGTTTGCGAGGGGCAGACATTTTATGTGGGCAAGGAGGACAAGTGCCCGCAGGAAGGGACTGGCTGAAAAACAGGCACAAGGTCAGAATGTTTCCCAAACACCCTGGCTATGCAGCATTCCATATCGGCATATTTGTAGCTGCGTGCTTCAAATATATAAAGATTTCCATTACAATTAGATTGGCTGCTCGGAGCTTTGTTGCAAGGAAAGAGTCGAAAAGACACCAGAGCATCTCTGGCAGGCAGCGCCCACGAGATGGCAGCCGGATCTTTCTCTAAATCTCTAGACTGCCATTCACAGGACATACTGGGACCAAAATCGCTTGATGAGATCTGAGGGCAACATCTCAGTACGGAACTTTGCAAATGCCGAATGTTGAACATCAGATCGAGCTTCCTAGAATAACTTGGACAGCTGAGTCAACTGCAAGCAATGTCTCAATTGCTGTGCCGTTTGCCTCTCGGTTTGAAAACTGAAGTGTTGCATCCGTGTCACCGCCGGGTTCCGTTTGTCCAAGGTGAGCAGCTGGTGCAGTTGCATCCGCAAAACCTGTCACTGCAATCAAAGCCAAGAACCAATGTATATTCATCGTCTGGTAGCAATCGAGTTCTTTCGCAATAAGCGCCGGGAAACGTCCCCGAAAGAAATTCATTTCCAGCAATATCCAAATAGGTAACATTTCGCCACGCTTCGAGCAGGTCCATTGGTAGCCATCCGGACAAAGCATTGCTTGACAAATCGACCTTTCGAATGGTGCTGCCCCAAGCTGATAATGTAATTGGAACGTTGCCGCTGATTTGATTGTTGTGGATGTCAAACTCTTCTAGAAGTGCTAGAGCTTCCCAACAATCGGGGATGCTGCCCGTGAAAGCATTGCTGGACAGATCCAACATCACGAGCTTGGTCAAGTTTCCCATCGACAAGTCGTCCGGTGTCGTCACCAAAGGACCCGAGAATCGATTCCCGTGCATTTGAAGGGTCTCAAGACGTGTCAACCGAGCAAACTCGGTCCGCAAGGTCCCTGTGAATTGGTTTTGGCTAACATCCAACTGTCGCAGAAGTTGCAATTGTCCGACTTCGGTGGGCAACTCGGACTCCAAAGCGTTGTTCTGCAATGGAAACTCTTTGATGATCGAAAACAGTCCCACTTCACTCGGCAATGGTCCGCTGAGTAGATTGTCATTGAGTGACAACCAAATGACATCCGACCATCGCCCCAACTCTGTGGGGATACTTCCCGAAAACTGATTGCCTAAAAGGTAAGTGTACTTCATAAGCGACAGCCGACCCAACTCACTTGGCAACGTGCCACTAAAGGCATTGTCGGCAGTGGACATGGCTTGCATCTTGGTAAGAAGTCCAATTTCGGTGGCAAGGGATCCCGAGAACTGATTGCCGGACAAGAGCAAATTTTCCAACTCGGTGAGCTGTGTAAAGAGTTCCCGTGGCAAGCTTCCGTTCAGTTTATGTCCTGCTCGTCCCACATCCAAAACGCGAAGCTTGGTCAACAAGGCCATCTCAGTGGGAATGGTCCCGTGCAACCAATCGACCGACTCGACAAAGCCGTGAAATCCGACGGTTCCTCCTTTGTACCAATAGGATGGAGCTTTGAGGTATTCCAAGTCTCGTAGTTGCCCAATGTGGGTTGAGATGGTGCCCGCGATGGCCGGATTGAAACTAAAGTCAAGGCTGGTGAGAGACGTGAGCCAATAGATTTCTTCCGGGAGTGTCCCATACATGTTGTTGTGTCGCATCCATAGACGAGCATAGTAGGGATTGTCATAGCTAATTGTAGTGCTGTTGGCAACAAAAGTGGCACTATCCTCAATGATGGGATCATGCCCATGACAGGGGGATGGATAAGTGGTGGAGTGACTCGTAATGGATCGACTCTCGGCAGTGTACCATGCACATTCATGTTCTACAGTCAACCAGTTGTCGGATTGAAGCCAAAAGGTTCCATTCATGGCATAGTAAAAGGTAGCCAAGGCATATCGTTGGCGAAGGCGAAACTGTGGGTAGCTTTGGTTGAAGGCGTCTTTGCGAATCCAATACAAAGCACGAGACTGAGGAGAAGTTGGATCATGTAGCCCTTGAAGGGTTGATGACGTGTTGGTAAGATTTCCGAAAAGTTGGTTCCACAGCAAGTCCGTTTGCAACGTTGGGGATGTGGTATTCTTTGCGGGAACGCTGCTGCTGCTGCTCGTTCCAAAGGAACCAGTCAAGCCAAGAATCAGGAGAACGATTCCCACCACTAGCAAGACAGCAAGAATCAGCAACAGAGTGGCAGCGGGTTTCTCCGATTGGGTTCTTGATGAGTTAGCTTGGGTAGCTTCCGGGAAAGCTATACCAGCCACGGCCTCTTCGTCCACGGCTCTTGCTTCGACCAGACCTTCGGTATTGGAAACGTATACTTGATTTCCTTCTTCTTCGTCGTGTCCATACTGCTGTTGTTCCTGCAGAATGCTCCTGGAAACTTCTTCCGTCCGTTGTGGCAGGAGACCAGGGCTAGATCGAAAAGCTCCCGGAGTGCTCGAGACACTGCCCGTGCCGGCAATCCTCAGCGGGGGTATTGGCAATGGTTCTTCCGGCATAGAGGGAACGTCACTGAACTGTTCGGCCAAGAGGACAGGCGCGGGAGTTTCACAATCAAAATCATTGCTACTGGTAACAGATCCGCCGCTGTGAGTACCTTCAGATGGCTTCTCAGTCTTCTCGGTCTTCTGGCACGGAGACTTCTCAGTTTGCTGGCACGGGGAAGGAGCATGCTTTAAAACCTCCACTTCTTCCCATTTGGCATCATCATCATCGTCCTCAGCCACGGCGGAATCTTTCGCCTCTTGCTTGGTACCATCACCTGAAGTCGTCGTCATCGTACAGTCGACGTCTATACTTTCGTACGAAGACAAATACTAAATACTAGTAGATACGTTTAAAAGGTAATAACCAAAACGAATGGACTCTAGCTAGAGAGGCCCCCGTTATCCAATAGTATGAAGAGTGGGAGCCCTTGACATGCATACCAGTATGCTGTTGCGCAATCCGCCTTATTGCCTGGTTGTGGAGTTCTCGTTTGTGCCATTGACGAGTGCGTCAGAAGCATCCCTTCAACCCTTTTCTTTAATTCCTGAAGCGTCTAGCCAAGTACGTCCTTTAATTGCTTCATTGCTTCTTGACGGAACAACGACTGCCGTGTCATCTATCATCTTCTAGTATCATCCCTTACTACTGGAGCTGCTATTTTAAATAGTACAGCTTTACACTCCGGTGTTTCCACCAGGAACATGGTTGCAGGGCGTGGTACTCACACTGTTTTAGCATGTGAGTATGGGTACTGAGTAGTACTCACAATTCCAAAGTCAAGTGAGTATGGGTACTGGGTAATACTCACAATTCCCAGGGTCAAGTGAGTAGGGGTATCATGTGAGTACCAGGTACTTTGTGGGTACTATAGAGTACTCACTGAGTACTTCATAAATCAATTACTTAGGGAAATTATCTAGGTTTTTCTAGTTCTGGGCTGGGGGCTCATCAATCTTGTTGTAAAGGTCCACCATGGCATCAATATCACTGTCATATCCTCCTCTTCACATCTGCTGGCAGTTAGCTTGAGGAAATCCTTGGTCTATTCTTAGCCCATTCCTTTCTTGTCTATTGATTGCATTGCTTGTGTTCTGATGAATGCACTGTCTTGTAGCAGAAGGCGCATTTGGAATGTACATGTCAAACCTTCTGTCCATTGCTGGTTTTCCATCAACATGTACAGAACTGAAAATTTTTGGAAGCCGTTGCTTCTGCATTGCAAGATGCGCACTAAATTCAATGATTGGGTGGTTGGTTTGCTCACCGAGTACTCGTACCGAATACTCAATAAAGTACTCAAAACGGAGTCAGTAGTCATCTGGTACTATAGTACTACGAGTACTCACGACATTGAAGTACTCACCGAAGATCAAAAAGTACTCAGAAATCCGGCGGTCATGTGGTACGGGTACGTAATACTCACATTTTCTGAGGTCATGTGAGTATGGGTACTGAGTATACTCAGTACTCAGTACCCGTACTCACATCGAGTACACGCAGCGTGTATTTCATGTGAGTCCCACACCCTGCATGGTTGTAAAAAACTTGTTGTCTCTCGGAAATCCAACATTAACTGGATGACCGGATGATAGAGGAGAAGAAGGATGTAAGACTTAACGATTGATTGCCTCCCTAATGGGGGGGGTACAGGGGCGATTAGAAGGATGCAGCTATTGACGCAAAATAGAAACAAAATATATATATATGTTGTCCCCATTACAGGATTGCTTTAGCAGGCCCAAGATGGCACTCACAGAAGACGCCATGATCATGTTTTGTCGCCCCGAGAAGGAAGTTTGTGTCCTTCGCCAGAAGCAGAAGAGGGAGAAACTCGAGAGTGAATACACCCAAGCCTCTGGGTGGGACGTTTGTGATTCATTCTCCACCAGGCAGCCTTGAACGGTGACGTATCGTACATGCAAGGCCTTGAGCGCCTCGTTTCTACCAGCCAGGACAAAGTTCTGTGTTGATTGATCTCTTTGAACTATAATACGTGAGAATCGAACCAAGTTGCTCTTCTTGCCTGGCGCCATGCCACGCCACGCCACGCCACCTGATCCATTCCTGCAATGTTTGACGGTACAAAGTTGAAACCAATGCTTGCTTGTTGAGCCAAGAAGGAGCGAACGAAGAGACTTGAGTAGCAATGCTCGAATTCTCGCGCGCGACCTCATGCTTTCATGTTTCAAGAACTGCTTCCTTCCGCCTTGGACGCGATTGTGGCTGAGCTCCAAAAATTTCATTCGTAGTCTGCATGCTTGCGAAGCTGCATGCCAAGTGGCAAGTCACTTCAGAAATATCTCGAGCTATTAGAGCATTGTGGTATTGGTCGCGGTACCGTACACGCGGGATAAATCCACCCGCGGTACGGTACCGTACGGTACGGGCACCTAGCTAGAGACCACGAGGTGCGTGCATCCAACAAATTCTGTTCGCACCGCCACTTCTCTCTGAAAACGATGCATGTACATGTATCCAAGTGCCAGTACCTACCGGCACCGGTACGGTACGCTTGGCATTGGTTGCACAGAGTTGTATTTGTTTACGAAACCAAGTTTTCTCACCAACTCCACGGACTGCATGTCTAGACTAATAATGATCGAGGACGTCAAGATATACCGGTAACTACATGTACAATCTTACCTCCAAGTGAAGAAGACTTGTGAGCGGTGAAATGGAATAGTGAAAATGATATAAACAAAAAGCAAATTATGTAAAATGAATCAAAACATTGTTGAAATGAACTAATGTTTCGGGTATTTTCTCCGCCCTAAAATGGCTAAAATTTCAAATGATGACTGTACTGAAAAGAAATGATCGAAAAAGTGTTTAATATCTTTTATTAATAAATAATTGTCTTCCATTTCATTGAAATGACTTTGAAGAAACATAAATTTACTGTACTATTCCGAGATTGGAAAAAATTACTTGTTCAACTGAAAGATTTATGCAAATTTCATCAAGACCAGCCGTTAAATCCAGCATGTGCTGCCATGAAGTCTTGCGCGTTCCGCTCGGTTGGATTGACATTGTATCGTTCATCTGTAGTTTGTTGTTGTTGCCTGTTGTTCTATTAGACAATGGACGCTGCCAGCAGCACCCGTAGCATCGACGACGACAAGTCTGGGACATCCTCCTCCTCCGTGGCTGCTGCCGAGTCCAGAGACGAGGCCTCCATGGAAGATGGCGATGGAATCCCGACGATGACGACTGTGGTGGAGAGTGAGGACGCGGCTGTCCCTCCATCTACGAAAGCCCAGCTACTGAAGGAGATTGAATTGTTTGATGGGAATCTGGCTCCTGTGAAAAAGAGGAATTCCATCCAGCATGACAATGATGTACATCCTGTAGTGTCCAAAGACTGGCTAGAGCGTGAATTTTCCTATTTGCAGCGAGAAAGAAACACCACGGCTACTACATGTACTACTGTGTCCAAGACTGGACTGGAGCGGGAGATGGAAGCCCTCAGTCTCATTGGAACAACAAGAGATGATGCTCTACCGGTACTAGATGGAAGCAACACAAGCAACAATAGCAATAGCAGCAACAGCCGACCAAGAGGACCCATACTGTCCAAAGAACAACTGGAAGCCGAAATGGCAGAACTGGGACAAGCCATGCCCGTGCCAATGCTAATAAGACGATCCACCGTACCTGTAGTTGATGTTCCATCAGCACGCGTACATGTACCATCCAGAACATCCCATGCCAGACCAGGTGCGTATGCCAGTCGACGCATTAGTGCTACAGCAGATCCTCAGCGGCCAAGACCACAACTACCACAGTCATCGACACGCAGTCTGGTAGAAGCCAATCCCGTGGAAGAAGAAGAAGAAAACAATCCCATTGTCGTCGTCATGGCACATCCGCAAGAAACGCACAACAAGAAATTGCATTACGTCGAAGGAATTTCCACGCTTCTGGTGGCACTGGTTCTAATCCTCATTGCCATTGCCTCGCTCTGCGGCAATGGATTCTGCAGTAGCAATAATAATCCAGTGGTGGTGCTTACCACCGAAGAAGAACGATTGGCCGTTCGAATCGAGACAGTGGCACCCCAAATCAAAGAGTTTCTACAAGATGCACTGAAGAATGACAATTACTTTTTGGGTCAAGAACAAGAAAATGCAGCATCCCTCATTCATCAAGACAAGTTTGTACGCGAGGCACGACAATTGGCATTCGAGTGGATGGTACGAGACGATCCACTCGAGCTCACCCATGATGATGGACAACATTTGCTCCAACGATTTCTTCTCGTCTTGTTGTACTACCAAACAACGAGAAATCATCCCTGGGTAGATTGCAATCCAACAATAAACATCGATACTACGACAGGTACCACTACTACTACTAGTTGGCAACGTTGTTGGACCGATCGAATATCCGTGACGCCTCGTGGACGATTGAGAATGGGAACCAACCAGTGGCTTTCAAACAACCACGAGTGTCAATGGGCGGGGGTCTCCTGTCGGGAGGGGGGATCCAACCAAATTGTGGCTCTTGCGTTGAGTAAGTACGAGTGTGCGGTTGAAACCAACCAGAATGCACGAAAAAACAAGGTATCTTTGCCTCTCACACACGTGGATTTATTCGCTTTGCACGATACGATTCTACATTTTATATAGCCATGAACGAACTCAACGGCCCCATGCCACGAGAGCTGTCGCTACTATCCAACTTGGTAGAGCTAGATATGAGCGACAACCTGCTCACGGGAACGCTACATTCCACCTTTTTGACCGATTTTGGACCATCGCTGCAACAAATCAATTTGCAACAAAATCAAATGACGGGAACCATCCCCAACGAATGGTTCGCGACGGCTTCCATTATTCGAGCTTTGGATCGACTCACCAGCGTGTCACTCTCGAGAAACTTGCTCACCGGAACGATTCCCGACGACACTACTCGCAGGGCACTCCAGACGCTGTCCATACAAGACAATATGATTTCGGGGTCGTTGCCACGGTGGATATTCAAAAACGTCAATCTGCAGTATTTGATGTTATCCGGCAATGCGGTACGTACTTGTTGTATCGGCGAACGCAAACACAAAACGTACAATGACATTTCACTCACTCACTTCCTGATGAAATCCGACCATCCAAATATTTATGTAACACAGATCACTGGGACATTGCATACGGAGGTTGGAAAGCTGCAACGTTTGAACTGGCTGCAGTTGCAAGGCACCAAATTGTCGGGCACGTTGCCATCCGAAATTGGGCTGTTGAATCGACTTCAGGATCTTTCTCTATCCTACACCTTTTTGAATGGATCCCTCCCCGAGGAACTCTACACGGGATGCACCAATCTACACGAACTGGATATCAATGATTCCGATTTCTCAGGTACCATAGGGTCATCGTTGGATCGTCTCACCAATTTGGGTCGATTGGACATTGCCAACAACCAGTTTCAAGGAAGGCTACCGGCGAATCTATCGGCATTGACCAGCATCTACCAGGTCTATATCAATGGCAATGGGCTGACGGGGACAATGCCACAATCGTTGTGTCACAACTTGATTGAATATGGCTGGGCATTGGATATGAAGGCGCAAGCGGACTGTTTCACGGATCCCAGCACGGGTTCTACAGCCATTCTTTGCGATTGCTGCACAACCTGCTGTGATCCCAATACGGGTATCTGTTTCCTATCCGATTTCGGCCGAGTTTCGAGTTGGGAGCGAAACCGTGGAAACAGACAACTAGCTACTAGCTAGTAGATAGCTAGTGGCTACCGTATGGGAGTTGCTGGTTTGAGGCGGGTGATGCGCTTTCTAGCTAGCCGTTACTCTGAAACTCTTCACTCTTGGGGCCTGAAGCTGAGAAAGTGCAACTCGACTGAGTGCCCAGTACGGTAGCTACATTATGATGTGGGTTTTGGTCAACTCAAGATGGTCCGCTGATGCCTCATAGACACTGCCGTCGTGGAACTGTGGCTACTGTCGTCCGTTACACCGTTTCATGCATGTTGGAAGTATCGTGACAATACAATTTACTAGCATCTTCGGCGTTTCATCTCGGTTCTTCCGGGGCTTGAAGAATGACACAGGCTTTCTTCAGGAGAACACAACCTCACCAGCGAAGATACGTTTAGCACTGAACTTGGAAGCGCCGACGGCCTCGCCGTTTCTGGTGTGTTGTTTGAGTAGGTCCCACTAGCTAGACTAATCATGTTCGACTAATCCCAGTCCCCACCACGGACCTTGCACAATGGCCTGCAGATTGAGCCTCTAGCTAGCCAACCATCAAGTATCTTTCCAGAGTTCTTCATCATGCCTGGCCAGTGTACGACTGTAGCTATCGAAACATGGAACCGAATGACGGATCTTGTATTGGAGCCGTGCCGCCAGGACCTGTACCGGCACCATTACGGTAGTGGAAGAGGCAGCCACAACTCCAAGCCCCCCTATTAGCCAGCCAATTGAGTAGCACGAGTACATGACATTGTATTGTTGACCGCCAGGGTACCGGTACCAGTCCGTGTCGTTTCCACTGGCCAGAGCGCACAACTTCTTTCTGGCAAGCTGAAAAGAACATCTCGGTGGCTATCGCAGTGTGGACAATAGCCAAAGAATCTTTAGTAGCCTCATTATTATTAAATCTTTCCATGCAGATGTACCGGTACCAGTTCACGTTGTTCACATTCCTCATCTCTTTCGGCGCATCTTCGGCATCTGGTGAACGGAGAAGAGAAAGGAAATGGTCCAGAGCTTGGTCGGTATTTACTGCCGGAATTCCGGATTACTGGCTACTTACGGTACGATTCCGGAATTCTATAGAACAACCGTAAAGATAACCGTAAAACGTCACCGGAATTAGGGGCATGCACGATTCCGGCAGGAATTCCTAGGATTCCGGTGGATTACTCCGGAACTCCGGTACCGTATACTCGTACTGTCTGGTGTATCATGTACTACTGGTAGTACAGTACGTCGTACCCGTACAGTACCGGTACATGTACATGTACCACAATTGCAGCATCAACTCTCGTGGCCTGCTTATTTGCTGGCTTTTTTCTAGCAGGAGGGTGGCACGTCTTGGAGCTACCAGTACCGGTATCATTCAAACTACATGTAATAGATCTGCCGATGACATTCGCGTGACAGCATCAACTCTTGCAGCCTGCTTATTTGCTTGGTGTTTACTAGCAGCAGGGTAGCATCTCTTGGAGCTACTGGTAGCTATGGTATCATCCAAACTGCTAATAGTCGTGCAGGTACCGGTATGGTACGCACCGGTACCGATAGAGGTGCAAGATCTGCGGTGAGATTACACTAGCATGACAGCATCAACTCTCGCAGCCTATCGGTGCAAGATCTTCAGCACACATTCTTATGGTACCGGCCTAGGAGTGGTATGCTACCAGTACAGGTACCGGTTACGGACACTAGCACAGCAGGCCTGGCAAGGTAGAAGAAATCCAAACGTTGAGGAAAGCCACTGCTTCTCAGCAGAATCCCCCCTCCAAGAGACCCAAGAGGGCCTAGGAGGCTTCATTGCCTCCTCTGGAGCAGCTGGATTGCAACTCATGTTGCCCTAAAACTTGTTTGTGGTGGCCTCCATTGCCATTGTTCATGCTAGTTCCTGAAATTACTGCAGTAATTCCTGTCTAAACAGTAATTACTTTACTTTTACTGCCATTGGCACTAGCTAGGAATACTGACCTATATTACTGTTACTGAGTAATTACTGCATTACTGCAATTACTGCTACTTTTTGGCCCCTCGACACAGTAAGTAATAACAGTAAATACCAACCAAGGTCCAGAGCATCCTCGTACGGTACATCTCCACGCAGGGCAATTTGCTACAGTCACTCGACGGTAGCCGTTCTACGATAGAAGGAACACAAAAAGGAGCAATCAATAAAATTATATTTAAAATCAAGAACGAGTGCCACAAGCAAACATCAAACTACATCAAAGAGCTCATCAAAGAAGAGCAAGAAAAGAAGGGTACAGGTTTGCATAGAGGCAATGCCTGTAGCACAGTGTTTCAGTCTGTCGGTACCGATGCCTGCTGAATGAAACACTATGATTTATTTTAGATTGGCAGCAGCTGTGGCAGCAGTGCTGCTATTCTGTGACTGTGACAACAGCTAACAACTGACAAGGAGCAAAACACTGAACGTTCGGAAATGAAGCACTTAAATCACTGATGTGACGGTGACCATTCTGTGACCATCATTCAATAGTCAAAACACTGTCAAAACAGCCACACGGAATGGAAGCCAAAAACGAGAATCAACGATCAACGTGATGCAGTGGAACCTGGAGTACAGGTAGCCTAGGTAAAGCTTAAAATAGTTATTGTCACATATGGCATAAATAATTCAATCAGCGGATTATTTACCGCAGCTTCCCGACATCTTCGGAGCTTTCAGGAAGCGTTCCAGAGAAAAGAACCCTAAAGAGAATCTCGAAACTTTCTGACTGCCTTCCAATAATAGTCATCGGTACAGACTGCATGTACTCCTGGTACCGGAGCGAAGCGTAAAACTGGCAACTCACCAAGGCAGTACAGTGTACTAGTACCCCTTTGACCACCATGAGTTCCATTCAGCTTGGGCAGAAGTTGCAAAAGATCTCCTTGAATCTTGATGGCCAGGGCCCAAACCGCGAACATCCATCAATCATCCTTCACTCTGCACTCTGCACTCAACCTCTGCTCTTCCAACACTTCTCAAAGCTTTGAAAGTTTCTCATAATTTCCAAGAGACAAAGAACAAAGCAAACAACTTCCAAGTAAACTTCTCCAACCATCCATCCAAAGCAACCATCCAACACAACCATGACTATGAAGATTGTCAAGAAACTGTTTGGGTCCTCCAAGAAGACGAAGCGCACACCCAATGAGAAGGTGGTAGCAAATTACATGTCCGCTTGGAACCGTCATTGCTCCATCGAGGAGAATCTCGGCTTCTATGAAAGTGATGACACTCCCCTCCGGATCGAGGACACCCCCGATATGCCAGCCAAGATGTTCATGGTGGAAATGGACAAGATCTTCAAGAGTTTTCCTGATATCCACTTCAAGCATGGGACGATCAAGGAGGAGAAGCCCGGACAAGTGTTTGTGGATAGCATCCGAGTCAGTGCCACTCATACAGGAGAGCCTTATGCATTTGCCAACTTTCCTCCGGTTCCAACGACCAACAAGCATATTATCAATGACCCTGAAAGGTTCCTGTTCTTCCTCAAGAACGGCAAGATCACTGTCATGCAAGTCATCTCTTTGGGAGACATGACTGGGCCACCTGGCTTGTACATGCAAATTGGGGGCAAGTTGCAAGCCCCGACATCCACTGAGATGACCTGTGCAACTTCTGTTTCCAGCACCAGTCTCAGCAATGACAGCAGTGACTGCAAGAGACCCTCTGCGGCTGCCAATGCCACTGTTCCGAACAACATTGTGGAGGAGCATGTCACAACCAATGAAAAGATTGTTACCCGGTTCATGGACACCTGGAACAACACCACTTCCACGGTGGAAGACATTCGTGGTTTCTTTGCGGATGAACGTGTCGAAATTCACTTTGAAGAGTCTCCAATCGATACAGCAAACTTCTTTGCAGTTGAGTTGAATAAGATCCACAAGAGTTTTCCCGACATTAGCTTTCAATATGAGTCCATCAAGGAAAACAAAGGAGGGCAAGTTCTTGTGGAAGAGCTTCAAGTGAGTGCCACCCACAGAGGAGAGCCATACGCTTACGCCCACTATCCTCCCATTGCAAGAACGAACAAGCGTGTCATCAATGATCCAGAATGCTTGTGGTTTACCATCAAGGATGGCAAGATCACAAAGATGCAATTGATTGCATTGGGCAGCTTCACCGGCCCCCCTGGTCTGTACACGCAAGTGGGAGGACAGATTTGTTGAACACATTATGTACTTCCGGGTGCACAGGTTGTCTTATGCACCATATTTGTGGGAATCTCTACATAGACAGTGTCAGTAATCCATTATAAAGTTGCATATTCCTATTCCTTGCTTGATTAGCTTGCGTCGTACCATGGTGCCAGCACATCATGGCTGGGTTTCATTGCAAGTGGCGTTTCATTCATCACCTCAGCGGACAGTATGCTGCCGGCGGCTTGGACCGGTACGGTAGGGTTGCTTTGACGGCGAAGGAGTGCACAGAGCGGATGGATAGTGTCCACTGGCGCTGGCTGGAGTGACACGACGCGGTACGTATACGATCAAAGGTTTGCCACGGCAACCAGCTCACTATACCTACCAGCTTAAATCGTAAGTATGTATGAGTCGTAAGTATGTCGTTATCCTACGAGCACCTACGCCAGAGCTCGAAGTCGTTGCATGCATAGACGGTTGCAACAACAGACGCGTCCTCGACACGACTGCCTCTGGAGCGATCAACAACCCAAAACCTCACAACTCAATCACATCAAATGCTTTCGTGTCGTCCTCGTCGTCAACTGAAGCATCCATTTCATCATCACGGTTATTCAAAACCGACTCATCGAGCATGGTGGCTGACTCCCTCGTTCTCTGGGAAAAGGAAACAGCATGGGCAAGTCTGGACGAATAGGAGTGAGCGAGTTGGGGCGACGCAGCAGGCCCACGGAGCACCACTTCATTGTCACGCCATTCTTTTGGCGTGTGCCCAATTCGCACTTTCTTCAGCAAATCGCTCGCTGATGAATCCATGGGCCACAAACTGTAGTAGTCAAAGGCACGAAGAAACTGCTGTGGTGTTTGAGAACCACATACTCGGAGCCTACGGGGCGGCAAATCAGAGTGGCTGAGTCAGCATCCCATGGAACAAAACTAATCTCCTGCAAGGATCATACCGTACCTCAGAATGTCATCTGACATGCAAAAGCTCGTGATCATGAACACACCCGTGACAGAGAAGAACGGTCGTTTTTCAATATCCTCTTCTTTGTGAAGCCCCACAATGTCAACTACTGTGTTATCAATCAGCTTGGTCATTATGAGGTGGCCGATTCTTGGTTGGCATGTGTCATCGTATCCACTGGTGTATTGCCACTCAACTTTTCGCAATAAGCAGTCAGCTGTCACAGACCTTTTGTTGAATACTTGCTGTCCCTTGTCCTTGGCAATCTTTCGGACCTTTCTGGACATTGGAACTTTTCTGGACGAGCCCTTTGGACATTTTCTGTGCCGGAGCTCTGCAGCCGCGGCCTCACAGGGAGGATCGTTGCCATCGCCGTTAGCACTGTTGCCCTTCTTGTGTACAAGTGACTCCTCACCGAACACTTCGTACGGTTGAAACGTGATGCCTTGAGATGCAATGGATCCACCCTCTTCGTTGTTGGTAATCAACAAGTCATTGAATTCCACTGGTGGCACCATTTCATTTTCTTGAGCTTCGTAGTCTTCGATGGCTTGGTCAATCAGGTAACCCTGCACAATATCTCTAATGTCCAGCCCCAGCAACCGGGGTAGGGCATCATCAATCTCGGAAATGAACAGAAGTGCTACAAAATCAAATCATGAGATGCGCCGAGACTCGTAAATAGCAACACTGTTCAATGGCATCCGCCCAGGCGACGTGTCGTACGTACCTACGCTATTCAAGACCCCGTCAAGGAATGAATCTCCGGACAAGACCTGTTGAAAAAGACGAATGCTGTCTTTGAGGAACCACGCTCAAAATAAAAGAGGCAAGCGTCGCAGTCGCGAACGCAAACTCACCACAAAGAACCCACAGAATGCAACGGCCAAAGGAGAAATAATGTTGACCAGCAAGTCCATGGCAGCCAGAACTGAGATTGATGATTCACTCCGGTACAGTGTTTGAAACGCTTCCTTGGTACTGGCCACCTCGGGCGCCGCAACCATTAAACCGTAGCCAAGTGTGGAAATGGCCATTGGCAAATTGCGAGCCAACAAGTCCCCACCGGCTCCCGCAAACCCTTCACCATCGTCCAGTTTGGTCAATGTGAGAATCAGATAGGCTGTCGCGCAAGTCTGGAAGAAGAATGAGAAAATAGCATAAAAGTATGGCATTTTGCCGCGGTTGTACTTGGTCATGCAAAGAACCAGACGATAAATGTTGTATTGGGATTCATCGACCAGCATTTTCTTTTGCTTGAGCTTGGAAAAGACAATATCCATGAGTTGCAGCAGTCTCGTCCTGGCCCTCTCCTGTTGCATATCCAACAGCTTTCGTTCTCGTTCAGCAGCATTCAATTGGGGGTATTCGAGAAGGATGGTTGCTCCTAGTTTCTTGAGTTTGGGTTGACGAACCTCGTGTTCGAGGAGATTCTTTTCAAAATGCGTATTGATGGCTCCCAACGAAAATGCCGATGCCAAGGTACAGGCAAAACTGAACAGAGACCACGGACGGAAGCGTTATCGTGAGAGAGAGTGTATCGGAAGGATCAGCTTTTAAAAGCTGCCATGCATCACGTAACCGGCAGATTCTGGATTCGATTGCTTGCTTACCTGTAGTAGTCACTTTCATCCATGCCATAGCACATATTGAGCAGTTCCGTCAATGCATACTTGGCAGCGGGTGGGTTGTTGGTAATAGCATCAGCCTACGGTACGATAGAAAAAGGGGGAGCGGACAGGGATTTGAGGCATCCTTATATGTGCACGTACGGATCCGGTCGTCCCAAATTCACTGGCTGATGCACATACCTTGAAAGCATCTCTGACCTGAATAAAGGAGGATCTATGAGCCTGATGGTCACTATGTAGTGTCCTCAACCAGACCGTGTTCCACTATTAGGAATGATGAGTAAAGCGAAACAGAGCTCATGAGAAGACAGGATCCATTTTCGCGCACTGGGCAAAACTCGAGTGACAGCCGTCAGCTCAGCTCCAAAGCTCTATGGGTATGGCACGTACCTCGACTTGGACATTCGTGATGAATATACGGGTCGTGAAAGGTCGTCCCTTGACTTTCTCGAGCTCCTCCTGTGTGTACGGGATCCTCCTCTTGACTATACAAAACGTAGGTTCAGTATAGGGGACGGTTCATTGGTGAGTATATAAGCATTGTAACCAAAGAGAAGAATTGAAACATGTCGTCGCAAAGGAGAAAAGCACGGCCAAGTTGAACGACAGCCACATATTTTTGAGGGACACTCAACTCACCCAATTCCGGATGCATAAACACGGAAGAATCCTCGGCGGAGAACGTATCCTTCATGGCAGTTCGGTAGTCCTTCCACCTCTGTTCACTGGTTTCTCGTCTGGATGCATTTGTGTCTGGGTTTGTGTTCCCAGCTTGGCTGCTTCTGGGCATCCGGCTCCAATCTGCAGTGTTCATGGTAATATTGTTACTAGTATTGGAGGGGCAAGAAGAGTCCATGGACACAATTTGCTGCTGCTTTTGTTGTCCCTCCAACTCTTCCACGCGATTTTGAAGCTTCAGGATCAATTGCTGCAAATCTTGAAAGCTCATCGTTGCAGCTGGCTTCGTCTTATTATTCTCGAGGCCGCTCGTCACACGGCTGGTATTAGTATGGAAATCCGTTGGATTCGTCGTGGTGGCAGCAGCGACAGCAGAGATCTCATGGTTCTCGTCCTCGTCACTGTTTCCCTGGAAGGCTGCGCTACCTGTACGTCTCGCCTCGTTCAGCAGGAGTGGATCCAGCAGCTGAGCGGTAGGATGAGGAACATCGGTAGCACCGGTCCCAACGGCAGAAGCTCCGTCTTGCACCTCTTCTTGTTGCCCCTCGGGCTGTATCGGTACGCCCACCTCCTCACGCTCACGAGAACTCATGGTTTAGCTATAGGTGTTAATAAATAAGAGTTTTGTGTGTGGGAACAGGAGCCAAACAAACCAAACCTCCTTGAGCAGACCACAAGGAGCTAGGATACCCCATGCAGGTTCTTCACATCGATCATCCATCCGTGCCCCGAGCTTGAGACGTGGCTACGATGTACTTTAGCTAATACTGTACCCCGTTGAAAAAAATGTAAGAACGGACGACGTGAACCCCCAAGAAGGGAGCAATAAAATAATTGTGCTGTGTTCAAGGGACTAACTAAGGGCGAAAACAGGAGCGAGCTAGCTAGTTTAATAAGCAGATTTTGGCTGTTTGTGTGAAGCCTACTGGTACCTGGTACCGGTCAGGGCTGAAGGAACATCACCAAGCCCAAGGAAAACAATGAATATAAGAGAATTTGATACTCTCTTGTCGGCTTGGCAAGGCATGGCTGCCAGTGCCGGGACAGGTACCTACCATGTCGTTTGCGTTGTAAAAGAGGTCCTCAGCAGTAACTCTTGGGGCCAACATTTCAGCGCACCTCCATGGATGGAGACAAACTTGGTTGCCGTGGTGGTGGTCGCTCGAAGTCCAATGAGCTTGGCTCCAGGCAACCTTGGGCGTCTAGCTACATAGCTAGATAAGTCTTTTGACAAAAGAGACAGAGCATGTCATTCAGGAAACCTGGCCACAGCAGCTTCACCTCTACTAGTAGCTAGCTACGCAATTGAATACTGGTAGTTGATTGATTATATTTAAAGCATACAAGGCAGTGTAGAGTGTAGATGATAACCCGGGTGGCACCAGCAGCCATTTCTGAAGTACTGGCTGGTATAAGTGTGGATGGAACCTCCAGCCTTGTTTTTAGCGTGATGACATGCATGTGTATTATATTGGTAGCTTGCGTGAAGGGTGGCGGATGACCATCCTGACGGTTCCCGCGCAGTTGGCTGTCGCTCGTCAGATTCACCTTTAGGAGGCTCGGGTACTGTTCTTTACCGATCTGATCATGAAGATTGCAAATATGATAACGACCACCATGATTGCAGCACCGACGACGGACTTCGCTTTACTTTTGCAGGGATGTTCCACCTTTTCCTCTGCTTCTGCCAGCACTGCCTCCTCGTCCACTGCCTGGAGCCTTCGAACTTGCAACGTACTGGGACGGAAGCTGGGGTCGTCCTCGAGACAGTCCGTGTGGCTGTTGTTCGAGCTGTCCATGTCATCCTTGGAGGGCTTTGATGGTGTCATGGTGATTGATGTGCTTGTTGTCTAAGATGCTTCGTGGATGTAAGTGAACAGGTAAGCCAAGAATGAGCCACCGAGCTCTGACTGAACTCCCTCTTGAAAGCTGGCTCTAGCTAGCCATAGTCGAGTACAAAAGAGATGGGCTTCCCCATCCCGAAGTCCGATCCCGAACCCGGAAAGCAATCGCTCCGCAAAGTACGACTGTATTAATAGCTTATTTTGAATTAAGGGTCAAAGAGTTAAATAGTGTATTCTTATTAGGCACTATCGGAAAGATGATTATTCTCTTTGTGTACCGGTACTTTCCAGGAACACGACTGAGACGCTACTTCATTTGCAGGCCTGTTTTGCGGGGGTCGCGCCTGGCACTTCCTCAGCGTCCTCTCTCCCCAATTCGATTCTACTTGTATCCTGGCTACTAGCTAGCTAGAGAGCCAGCCAGAGTAGCAGCATTTGGATTGATTCACTATTTATTTCCTTTGTATCCAAACGAAGCAACCTCTATGGCCAGCCTTGTCCTCTCACCCATTCCACTTTCCCTGGCCTCCTTCCTTGCCATCCTTCCCTTCTTCGGTTCGTCCGCTTGATCTTGGCTGCCAGGCTCAGGCTCCAGCCCCTTGCAACGCACGGCTGCCCATGATCTCAAGTCCATTCCCATGCATATGATAGTCCACTTTAACCATCTCCCTGTGAAACAAACCTACAGCGTGTAGAGAGCTTGTCCTTTTAATTAATTAAGCCTTGTACTCAGTTAAACCATACGGTCCCAGTACCACTACGGGTCTGTTGTGTAGCTCTTGAAAGTTTCCCGTCGGGGCCATTTCAAGCTCTGGCGTCATATTGTTGTTCGGCCTTGCTGAGAATTGATGTTCTCTCCTGCTGTATGCGTCTCTTGTGTTAGCTAGCAGGTGCCTACAAGGCTGTTTTGGAGTGACACCCCCCCTTCCTCTGCGATTGTGCCAGCATCAAACATCCATTTTCCTGGCTGCGCCTGTATGCACGGGAAACATCAAGCTGTCTTAGCCAGCTGCAAACCTGAACCAACCACGAGAAGGCATTGGTTGGAGCCATGATCGTAAGTGTGCGATAAGCCAAGTTGCGACGCTATTGCTTATTTTGAACAGAGGTTACCCACGAAGAAGGAGGATCGATTAGTCATGTTTACTATACCAAATACAGTACTATACTACCTCTGTAGCGTGCAAGTACAAATCCTACACGGCTGTAGAAAGCCTGCGTGCAATAGGTATGTACGTTGCACGTAGGCTTCTACAGCCGTGTAGAAAGCCTACGTGCAATAGGTATGTACATTGCACGTTGGCTTCTACAGCCGTGTAGAAAGCCTACGAGCAATACGTACGTAGCCTTCTACAGGTTTGCACGTACTGACGTCATTCGTTGAATCCAATGAGTCAAATTGATTCATGTCACACTCATTTTTAAGATAACACACGTTGCTTTTAACCTTGGCTTTAAGATACTTCGAAAGGGTACGAACAGTACCTACATGTACTTCCTTGTACATAATCCCCTCTGGAGTGCATTTGACTGGTGACTTTTACGGGTACCACAACTCAAAACATGTGCAACTAGATGCTCTTGCCCAGACTAGCTTAACCCTCCTCCTTCTCCCCTCTGGAGCCCCTTCAACTAATCACTTTTACGGGTACCCCACCACCACGAAGACAGAGGACCGATTAGTCATGTTTACTATAGAAAATACAGTACTATACTACCTCTGTAGCGTGTGGTACAGATCCTACACGGCTACGACACACATACCACACGCTCCGTATGTAGCGTGTGGTACAAAATGTACACACCTACAACACGCTACATACGGAGCGTGTGTTACAAAACCTACAGGAACACGACTGACGTCAGTTGCACGCATCGCGCGCAATGCGCGCGACTGACGTCGCACACCGCGCGCATTTCACTCGCACGTCACACCCATGTTTAAGATAACTAATATTTCCTTCCAACCCTTGTTTTAAGATACTTCGAATGGATACGAACCCTACCTGCATGTACCGTACTTGTACATAATCCCCTCTGGAGTGCATTTGACTGGTCACTTTTACGGGTACCGCAACTCAAAACATGTGCAACTAGATGCCTTTGTCCAGACTAGCTTAACCCTCCTCCTTCTCCCCTCTGGAGCCCCTTCAACTAATCACTTTTACGGGTACCGTACCAGGTAGCAGTAAAGTTTAACAGCCTGCAATTATTATTGTTATTCAAAGGCACGTCTAATCGAAACGGGACAGCATTGGATTGGTCCTTGCACCGATCACATCTATCTCATCGACATGTATGTTTCACGATGGCGAAGCTTCGACAGGCACCGACAGTTGCTTCTCACTTCAGTGTTGCTGTGTTCTTCGTCTCTTCACTCACAAATCTCAATCATGAAGGGTCGTCGTATCAACAACAAGAAAAACAAAGGCAAGGTGAAGAAGACCACCACCAATGACGACTGCTGCCTCCATGGACTCACTAATAAGGCTCCCAGCAAGGAGATTCTTGACGCCTTGACCGACTTAACGCCAATCAGATTCCGCCGGAATTAAGGCTTTGCGTAGGTCAAATGTTACCCATGCCTATTTTTCACATGGGCCACTATGACCTACGCAGGTACCTTTGTGTGGGCCACTCAGTGCTTAAAACTGCCTGAATGAACCTCCGGCCATGGCGGCATCACTCCCTCCAACAGCCGCTAACCAGGCTAGCAGCATCCAATGAGGCCACCCTCGCTTGCCTCAACAGAAAGAAGAAGGAGAGAGCAATCCAGCAATGCGTAAACAGCTATCTCATTATCTGCACTATGACAAGTCGCAACAAGGAGAACAAAGGAGGTATCAATTGGGATGCAATCATGCAGTCTGATTGGGACAATGATCTAAAGACGCTCGAGGAGTTTGGCAAGAACTCTGTTGTTCCCGATGTGCCCCTCTCGCAGAAGCATGCTGTTGTGAAGAAAGAGGAAGAAAGCGATGACGAATTTGAGTTCGGCAAGGATGAAGAAGTTGTCAAGAGTGGTAAGAAGCCACTGACGCCAAGTGATTACGGATTCACAGTTGTTCGACTGACTGACCTTGTCCCTGATGGCTTCCCTTCTTATCCAAATGGAACCCCAATCTTTCCTGGCGGGGAAAACTCTCCTATCTACCCAAACCACCCTGATTACCACCACTACATGGGGGCTGATCCAACCGATCCAAACATTCGTCGAACCAATTCCCCACACAAACCCAAAGCTCTTGACTACAAGAAAGAAGAACCGGAGCCCCTTCTCTCGAGGACATGTGGCTACTGCAACCAAGCCCCCTGTTTCATGTTGCAGGATTTGATTGGTAATTCACTGATGATGACAGGAGACATGATGAAAGATGATGGGTTCAGCAACCAGCAGATTCGAAAGGCTCTCTACACTGAGGCATCTCGCATGATCAATGGTCGCCTTGGTCCAGGAATCAGAAAGAAGCTTCCTACTTGTGTCGAAGGTGAGATCAAGGATAGCTACCCTCGCGACAAGAACAAGGATCCCGAATACGTGGGATATAAAGCCAATTAGGTATCAGCGATGAGTAAACCTCCCAAATCTACCAAGGGATTGTCGTTGGAGAAATGTTCATCGCCAAATAAGTAGGATAATCAATAGTGGAAGTGATCACGTCTGTGTCACATAAAGTTTGGAACTAGTATCTTAGAATCTAATTAGACTAACCGTACAGTTCATTATCGCTGCTGTCATAAAGGGTACCACCGGTCTCCTCTGCTTTGCCATTTTCGTCCTCGGTGGTTTCTTCTTCCTCCTCTCCATCATTTTGACGCTTGCGCTTTCGAGTCTCCCTTTCGTCCTTGCCATGGAGCTTCCGAAGAGACTTCCAAACAGGGCCGCTTCGGTTGTTTCCACGTGCTCCCTTGGGATGGTTGATATCTCGCATTGGCCATAACTCGAGACCATCCGGATGATGGGCAATCTGGAAGCACGTCATGTTCTCAAATTGCTGCAGCTTGTGGATATGCCGATTCGAATCTTCCACAACATGGTTATGCGCATAGACACCACAAACTGAGCAGACGCAAACGCCAGACCTTGTTCCACTTTCTCCAAGCTTAGGATCAAACCACTTCCCATTTTCAAGTCGGCAAACAATGCATCGATTTCTTGTTGCGGCTTTCTTAGGTTTGAGGGGTATGTGGTCTTTCATGGGATCAATTGCGCTGTTTCCTGCCGGGGACGTATCCTCTTCTGGCTCGTTGTACTCGAGCAGGCATTCAGCAATGAACAGCATGAAATCATGCCTCTTCAGCTCGTTCCTGTTTCTCGAAGCTTTTTCCTGGGCAGACAGATTCCAAGCGATTCGGGCGTTCATCATCATGATGTCCAAGATTGCCAAGAAGACTCGCTTATACCATTTCTTGAAATGTGCTTTGGTAGAGAAGCCTCCAAAGTGAGCTCTTATCTCATCGCCTTTGTCCACTCCAAACATTGTTTTCTGATACCGGATCATGGCTCTGGGACAGTCCAGCTGCCGTGCTAATGGTCCAACCTGCCTCTTTACTGTACCCACAGTAGTGTCATTCATGCTGGATACCATCGTCACCACTTTACTGTCTACCCATTGCATCATAAGTAAGCGATTGACCTTGTCAGCCACTATCTTGTATTCCCCGCGAGCATCTTTCTTGTCCAAATCCAGAAGATCCGAGGGAAATCCCTTCCGTCTGCGACGACATGTTCCCGTACTGTAGCAACCACACTTGGTGAGTAAAAGAACAGCCAGTTCAGGGCACATGTATCGGTTGTCCATCGCAATGTGTCGAGCGCCTTGTCCATCGCCAAATGTTGACATTACCGCATTCATTACAGCCTTTTGTGTTGTTGCCAGGTCATGGATACTTTCATCAATACCAATGTTCTTTGAGTTTCTTCCTTGATAAACGTCCAGATGCAGAATTGCGTAAGTGGTGGAACAAGCAAGGATAAAGAAGTCAACTCGAAACTTGTTTGGTTTGTCCTTGTTGTATTGGCGAACAGGACAAAATCGTGATCTACATGCCACTCCACCTTCGTCAAAGGCACAATGGGAACCAGCTTCGAAAGTAGCTTTCGAAGCTGCATTTGCTGCATTGATTGCCCTCCGAAGCTGATAGCATTTGTCGCTTGATCCAGCTGCCATATCTTTGTCCTCTGGGTGGAAAGCTGCTCTTATTTGCTTGAAACGCGTCAGTGACATGTAATCCTGAGCCCACCCTTGGCTGTTTTTGATTGGTTTAGCTTCATTGTGGTTGCAGTAGTTTATCGACTTGCATTCTTTTTGGAAATACGCGGGGTATCCACCACCATCGACGGGAGAAAGGGATATCTTCAATAGAATGCCAAGGAACACGTAGGTTTCCTTTACAGTGATGTCCTTCCACTTGCCACCACATAGCTTCTTCTTCCGGTCTTTATCTAGTAGTTGATTTTTGGCATAGTCATTGGACTCTCTGGTTAGAGCAGTGACAAATTCGCGATTGCATCCAAGACGCTGGAAGCACTCGAATGGGTCTTTCCATCGGTCACCCACACCAGACTTCAACTGTGTCTTGGCATCTTTGCCCTCTCTCATGTTCTTCTTCTCCGTGAATGGAACATCCCCTGGTTCAACAGGCTGGAACTTCCATTGCAGTTTTTGTGCTAGCTTTCCATACGTATTCTCTTTGGCGATTGTTGTTCCATCGGTGGCTTGAATTTCGTAGATGTCATCTGCATCGGTATCATAACCTTCCTCTCTCATTGCGAAATAGAAAGAATCATCATGCTGATCAAGATCCTCTCCATCTTCTGATTCTGATTCATACCCATCAACATCGTCTCCTCTGGTGATGCGTCTGCTTCCTCTCTTTCTTCCTCTTATTGTGGTAGTCCCGTCGCCTGTTGAACATGCTGTTTTCAGACTTGCGTAAGCTTGCGCCCTTTCTTCATCTGTTGGGCCACTACTTCCTTGAGTTGTTTCATTGGCTGGGGTTTCATTGGTTGGTGTTCTCGAGGATCTTCCCGTAGGCACATTCGCAGTGGCTTGACTCTCCCCTGGACTCTGGTCTGCTGGAGTTCCTTCAAGATCCGCTGATAATTCTTCCTGTTCTTTCTCATATGCCAGGATAAGACCTTTCAGCTTCAGACGGAATGCAGGGGTGAACTCAACGAAAGACTGTGTCCATCGCACATCCATCAGAGTACCTGATATGATCCATTTGAAGCCATACTTCCTCCCGTTCTTGATGCTGGGGCATTGAGTGACCTTTCCCACGAGCTCCAGATCGTTCTGTGGGTACCTTTGCAGGTATGAGTTCTTATAGTTTGGGTCCAAGAACAACTCACTGTTACATTTGAATACGCGGTTTGCGTATTTGAAGGTTTGCCTCTTCTTCTTCTTTGCAGTGACAGAGGCTGTTGTAATGACCGTATCTTGAGTTTGCTGTGTTCGTGTCTCCTGCGGGATCTCTTCGTCAGAATTGCTTCCTTCTTCTATGGGTAGCGAAGCATGTGCAGCACCACCTGTGATGAACTGCGATAGGTCTACAGTCTCCCTAACTATACTAGGAAGGGTTTCCTCACCTTGCGGTCCAGTTTGGCCATGTAGAGGAGGCATAGGAGGGTCCGTCATGGTGCTACCTGCAATTCTTGCTGCGAAAACAAGATTTCCCCATGTCGTTTAGCTGCCGTAGTGACTCTCTGGTGGGAGATAGCCCATACTGACCCATATATACGGAGAATCACCTTTCAGCGCTCTTTCAAACGGTGCTATCTAGAATAGCTATAGATGTAGTTTAGATGGGGGTATACTTCAACAGAGTCTACGTAGGTCATATATGACCTACGTGGGTTTACGTGGGTCATATATGACCTACGTAACTGATTGGCGTTAAAGCTGGATTTTGATAGCTCCAAGAGTCACGAACTTGCCTATACGTCGCCAGAACATGCTCCGCTCCTATATAGTGTTTCAGCTGGGTTCCTGCTTCAAAGCAAAAATCTACAAGAGGACTGGAAAAATGTAATAGACCTTGTTTCATGCACCCAAGCCGCGTACAGCATCCAATGCATCAAGGACTCTGGGAGTATTGATGGGAGCATTCGAAAGATTCTTCGGCGCGTGGATCAACACACATCCAGCATGCAAGCAGTTGTCCTGCACATTGCCAAGAACATTCCATGTAATTGCCTGGACGAACTGAAGCAACGTGTACTGTTGGAGCCAGAGCTGCGACGGTGTCAATATTGCAATGGTTTCTTTGAGAATGTCTATCTGTGCTCCAAATGCGATGAGATAGCGTACTGTTCTCAGGAATGCCAGACAGCAGACTGGCCAGAACATACGATCAGGTGCAAATTTGCAAGAGGAAAGATTTCAAGTGAGGAATATATTTTGCGGGAGGAGCGACGTCGAGCAACCAATGAAACGACCCAAAGAAGAATCCTCCCGATGGATTGGAATCCCAACAGCAGCCAGTGTGGATTGGGGATTCTTGGAGTTGCGTGCGTCCTCTTTCTATGCATTCGTTCCTTATTATTCTCTATATAAAAGTAAAAACACTACTACAACTCGGTCACATCTCGACTCATCCGATCGGGTGCATAATCGGCGGGTGGTTCTCGTCCACACCGTCGAAAGAGATAGGCCACTTCCACGTCCTTGGTCATGGGGATAATGATTTTCTTGTAGACGGCTTCAATAACGGCAGGATCGACCTTGCCCTTTTGACCTGGTTCATCCTCCAATGCTTCCACGGCGGCCACCACTGCCGATGCGGCGGCCGCCGCCACGACCGATGTGGTATGAGATCCCATTTTTTCACTCATGGGTGGCAATTCGGCCAATAATGGTTCTCGTCCGTACGTGGCCGCCTTTAACCGTGCCCGCCGGAGTACCTTTTGTTCGACCTTTTCATTCGTCAATAACCGCATGACACCGTCGGCATCTCCGGCTTCAACCAATTGTTGATATTCCTGTGGATCGGATCGATATTTGGATTCGGCCACGAATTTTCCGTAATGGACTCGTTTGGAGAGTGCCTGCAAGAGTGCAATATCGGCGAGAATACTGGATCCGTGTTGTTCGTCATCACCGTCTTTGGTGATGGCGGGTAGAATGACGTGAATGTACTTTTCCAATAAAATGGGATTGAAATTGACATTGGCGGCGGTTTCATCTAGTAAATTGGGATAATCGAGTTGTGGCATGGCATCCATCTGTTTCAAGTGAAGTCGATCGGGAAAAAAGGGATGTTCTTCCGGAGATGTGTACCGGCGGACACTGGAATGCAATACTTCGGTTCCCACCATCATGTACTCGAAGAGACACAGTTCTTTGTTATCGTTTTCTTTACTGCCCAAGGGTGTTCCGAGATCGCCAAAGCCTCCACGCTTGTAGGCAATGGCATTGCGGCGAAACTGGGCTCGTTCGATGAGAGCAAAGATGATGGTTTCTTCTTGTCGAATCAACGTGGAACGGATCGATTCCAGAGATAATACATCCACTGTCTTGACACATTCTTCCCCATTCACCGTCGTGGCGTCTAGTGAGGTATCAGTATCAGTAGCACTACTGCTACTAGCACATGACGTAGAAGAGGGAGACAGTGGTCCATTCCACAGCGCAAAGGAGTGACAGGAAAAGGGTAGCAGCAGACCTGCTACCAGCGCAATCCTCATGCTTCCAAATCCACCAAGATAATAATGATAATGATAAACAGTAGATAGATTAAAAGAGACCCTGTCCCAAGGTGTCTTTTTGGTTGGTTTGGTTGCTACAGGAAATGATCGAATGGAATGTGCATCGGTAGTGCCATTTTGCTAGCTAGTTTGGTTGGCTGGAACTTCTTGGTTGCTTCTTGAAGTTCCCACGCACTGTGCCACTGACGTTCCAACGTGGAAGGGACTTGACTCAAGTTAAGTCACTAATGAAATATCATTTTCATGGAATTATTTATTTGGCTAATTGGAGTTAAATGAAAACGTCAAAAAGAAAAGGTATCTTTTCGGTCATCTGCAACTTCCCTTTGGGGCTGACGTGGCCCCGTTTCTTTTATTGCCTGTTTCAAAGTGTCCTATGTAACCTTATGATTATTTTGTGTATGCCTTGAATTTAAGATACTACACTAGTTTGCACCTACATTTGCTCGATGCCACATGTACACCATTGGTGGCAGCTTTGGGGAAAGTTTTGCCAGTTGGATCCACTCGGAACCCGGATTCGGAGTTTCCAATTGCAATGCCATGGGCTTCCTCTACACCCAATAGGCTAGCTACTGGTAGTAGTACATGCAATTAAACTGGTATCGTTTAGTCTTGGCTTTTTACATCGACTGCTCGGCAGTGCCTCTTCCTCATTTCACTGGTGATGCTACGTAGTTTTAAGTACTAGAATGCTACACAGAACCGAATAGTGGATGGCACTGCTCAGCAGTGACACTGCGGAGCAGTGGAGTTCTCATCTTTACCGACACTGTGAGGGAGTGATTGTATCGACTTAGCCGTTGTTTATGTTGCTATTGTTGCCGTTACCACTGTTGGCCTCGCTGCTATCATTGTTGTTGCCACTACGTATCTCTTCGAACAGCCTTCTGATTTGGTTTTCATTATCTTCGAATTCGCTCGCAGAGGGATAATGCCAGTCTTTGAGTCGCTTCCCAGTCACACGCCAATCATCTCGAGCTAAGCCCATGCTAGCGGTGTTGTGGTAGTGGAGAAAGCAGGACAGTTGGCCATTTCCAATATCTTTTTGTGGGTGTTTGTGCATTGGTTTGGCACACAATTCACAGTACTGGTATGCTGCTTTACCACAAAAGACACAGTTCAGTTTCTTTTTGTTGGCCATGGTATTACAGCTCTGGAAATGGTTGAGGAGCGGAGTGACAAAGCCACACAGCCGATCCGAATAGTTGTTGTCTGAGAGGGTTTCCGCGCTGACACCAGAGGCTGTTGTTAGATTGTCGTCTTGGTGCACCTGTCTGCGCGGTGGAGTCTTTGAGCGAGGTCTTTTCGCTTTGCTGATTGATGTGGTATCGCGCATCTTTTCATCTCCAAGATAGTTGCAGTTCCGTGGGGCATATTGAAGCATTTGACGGGCAAGCTTTTCACGGAAGAGATAGAAGGAAACAGGCTTGTTAACTCGACAATCAGCCAAGCCATCAAGTCCTCCTTCACATGACTCCAAATAGATATCATAGGCAACAACAACCGCCATTGCCTTGGCATGAATCATCGGAGAGTGCCAATACTTCCAACACCTGGTGGAGGAGATAAATCGCGTTAGAAATGAGATAACAAATAAGAACAAAGAAGAAAAACTTACCGGTAGCCCATGTTGCAATTTTGAATCAGATGATCTAGCTTGTCGACACCACCATATGTTTTCAAATAGAGTTGTCTTGACTCGTTCATTTCGATGCACCATCGATGTTTATTTCGGCCTCTGCCTCTTTCCTTTTGCGCAACGTAGAGATCCAAGGAGTTAATGGCGTTGACAGAGGCAAGGTTGCATGAACTGGTTGACTGGAAAGAGGTGATTTGCATGAGCGAGTCAGCGTGGGGCTTAATCGCAAAGATGGGCTTTTCATATCTTGCCGCTCGTGGTCTTGGACCACCATCAGTCTTCTCCTTACACCAGAACTTGGTGTCAACACCTTTCGGTAGACGATCACGTCTGCAGGTCATAGTCAATCCAAAGCCTTCTGTGGCAGCATATTGCATAATGGAATCGCCAGAGAAGAAGTTGTCCCAAGTGAAGTGTGGTTGTGAGGAGAAGAGAATGGGTTTGCGCTGTTCCTCTTGTTCTCCTTCCACGCTGTCATCGTCCGCTTGAATCAAAGGCTTCAGCTTCTCATAAATCATTCGAACTTCGCTGGGGCCCTTTTGTGTGAAAGGAAACTCGTGAATCTTGTGGCGATGAACATAAGCCCTTGGTCTGATGCGGTCAACATCAACAACAAAAACTGTCTGCCCTCCTCGAGAAATTCCGGGCTTCCCCAACACTTGGCCAAGCACACCGCTGCCTGCTTCGCCATAACCTTGGTGTGGCCAAGAGGTTTCATCTCCACAAAGATCAAGTCCAGCCTTCTTGCTGATGGCATTGACGTTGTTGCAAATGCACCTGTAAATCATGTCGTATTTGTAGCATGGGTCATAGTCACGGTCGGTTCTCTTCGCTGCGCGCAAATTATTGCACAACTTGTAAATCCGCTTGATCAACAACCATCTGGTTTTGCCCATGGCGGCGCTGATGAGTGGGCAGTACTGTGCATTGCCCTCTCTTCTGTCAAATCGGCGGAGGATGGCACCATCGCTTCCGCCTAGGACACCATCTTGAACAACAGAGCCATCCCATCGCACAAACTCTGTAATGGACACAGGTCGGAAAGCGTGGAAGTAGCCAGTTCCCAGTTCCAGTTCGGTCACTGCGTATCCATTGCTGAAAACAGAAACATCTTTGTAAAATGACATGCGTGGGTCATTGTCATTCCTTGATGTGTCACACAAAGGTAGAATAAGCTGATAAAAGAATAATGCATCTGGAGTGCCGTCATCTTCCTTCATCCGTTCCTTCGAAAGACCAAGTCTTGAAAGGATCTCGCCATCTAGTTTCCCTTTGCGACAGTCGGGGAACATGTTCTCTCTTGTTGCACCAGATCGGTGGGGCGTATGTGTCTCTGGTAATTTCCAACCATTGTAAAAGAACTCCCATCCGTCACAGACTCGCTTGAACTGGTGGTCGGGTGGAACAGGTGTAGCGCCAGTTGGCATTGAATGGTACAGATATTTCTTCTTCTTTGAATTGCCCCTACCAGTGACGCTGTATTTGGGACGGAATGTGAATTCACTCCAATTCCCAGGATTGTCAACATTTTCGAAGTCTGGCTCAGTGTTAACTTGCTTGTCGGCAGGTTTCCAAGTCGTAGGAGGCCCGGGTGCCTTCCAAGTTGCATGTGCACCAGGCAGCGTCATGTCTCGCTTGCCAAGTAAATCCATTTTCATTGGTTTGATGTATGAGGCAATTGCGGCAATCTCTTCTTCTAGGAAATCCGGCTTGCTTTTTTCTTGAGCTTCCAGATCCACCATCAACTCATTGGCAATCTCTCCTTCGTCGTCAGAATCAGTGTTGGGGCTCTTCTCCCGGCAGTCGCTGTCAAACTGTGCTTCGTATTCTTCAGCCGAGACGTTTTCAGGAATTTCTTGTTGCGGAGTTGAGGATGGCATTGTTCTTGGTGTTGATGTTGGTGTTCTCAACTGGCGTGGTCTTGTTCTCTTGTTGCTGTTGCTGACATCTCGCAAAGGCGTCCTTGTTGCTGCGGTGGCCAATGCATGAAGTGCTGCTTGACCGTTGTTGCCTCCTCCACGATTTTGGCCGCTCCTCGTCGAGCCACTTAGGCTTGACGCATGAGACCAAGGGGATCGATTTCCACCCACAACGGCAGGTGGATCATTGCCTCTAGTAACAGTAGGGGCGACAGACTCTTCATCGTCGCTGTCAGAAGAGGATTGCATGTCACGGTGTCGGAATGATATCGACCGTCATTGTGAGGTATTTCGAAATCCCTGAAAGACGAAAAAGAATGAGACGCGCGTAGGCGAGTACCGGATTCCTACGCGCCCAGATCCACTGCGCGGCAGTCGATGATCTACTTAGTTACTCTAGCGCAATACCAATATACATCCATGAATACTACTACTATGATTACACGTCCGGAGGGGCAAGAGGGTATGCTTTCAAGCGGCAAGGAGTGGCGCGGAGCAGTTGCGGCTGTGTTAACATATATTGAGTCTGCAAAGCTAGATTTACTGCCCCGCAGTGGATTCACGAGTCAGCCAAGACTAAACGATAGTTTGCTTCCCTCCGAATAAGTTGCGTGTCCATTGGTTCTGAAGCCTTGTGAAAATGGTTCTTCTATCTAGCGAGCGAGCTAGAATAGAGGGGGACAATGAAACATGACAAAGCAAGATGAGACTGTGGTGGGCGGAGAGCATAATATCCTCATATCATCAAAGCAAGTTCAGTCAAAGAGCTGCTTCGAGTAAGATCCATGTTGTCATTAGAAGTTCTGTTGTAGACCTGAGCACTATCTATCAAGCAGCCTAGCCAGCGTTGCTTGTGAGAATGAAGACAAGGTGCTTGCATGCAACTCATGAATACTTGCTAAGTCTTGTACTCTATCATGTGTATCTAATGATCAAGGCATATATGTGTATTTTGAATTTTCGAATGCTCCTATGTGTTCGGAGCTCTAAGTGTTTAAAAAAGCAAACTGTCCAATGAAAGAGAGGATTTGAATTTCTCGCCCCCGCCCCTACTGCCCATTCGAGAAGGTGGCCATTGGAACGAGGAAGAACGCAATCTCAATATCCATGACAAAAACAGATTGTGAGGAAAGCAGATTCGCTAGAAAGATGGCAGCAATGACCGGTTCTGAAGTGAGAGGGGAGTCTGTTTCCGCCACCTCGATCATGATGGCGAGTACAACATGTACTGGTGAAGGAGTGAATAACCGCTTGGGCGATACAGTGGGTCAAAGTGCCAAACAAGCATCTAGACAATCATCGACGTTACGCGAGTTTCAAGTTCGTTCTCGACAAAAAAGTTCCAACGGTACAAGTAGGCGACGACGACGAAGACGAGTTGTCAACGGTGGATCGGCTACAACAACCAAATCCACGAGTAGTCCACGAGGTGGTCCAAGTGGGAGTAGTTGTAGTGGTAGTGGCAGTGCAAGGAGACAGAGACGATCTACTGGCACTCTTGGCAACCCCTCTGCTACTAGAAGCAACAATCGACCGAGTGCTACTCGTCTCCGACAATCTCCAACGGTTCGAGCATCCCCTCATTTGTTGGCGTTCCACGTACCCAACGGTCCACGACGACGAATTGGTACTAGCAGTAGAGCCAGTAGTGCAAGTAGTAATCGACGCGTGAGAACCAAGCGGTATCGTTGCCGGCGGTACACCATGTTGCTCGAGGAAGGACAAGAAGAAGACGAAGAGCAGAGTGTGCAAGAGCAACTGTTGCTAGTAGCAGATGAAGATCATGGCAAAGTGGAAGACGATGATGATGACCACTCGATCTCGTCGGAGCAAGTCCAGGCACGCAATGCCTACTGGGAATCGCTCTTGAACACGGCTTTGACACAGTTGCCAACGTCCGAAACCGAAGACTCCAAGGAAGACAGTACTAATGAAGACAGTAGTAGCCGCAGTAGTAGTACCAGTTGTGGTGAGGAGGAGGATGTGACAGAGACGAGTGAGGGTTTCTCTCAGTTGCAAGATTTGGAAGGAGATTGGACCGACTTGACGAAAGATCCTCAAGTTCTCTTGGGCATTGAGTTTCACGGACCCCTCGAAGATTACTCCGTGCCTCGCACATCCAGTCTCGCAGACTTGTTGTGGGCTCGAGACTACACAACTGCAGAAGAACGCATCTTGACGCATCCCGAAGAAACCGCCGTCTTTGTCGATTTGCCCGCTCAAGTCACTACCACGAGCAAAGCCCGAGGTCTGCCCCTGCACTTGGCTGCTGCCATGAGACCGTTGCCGCCCTTGTCCATCTTTCAGTTGCTCCTCAGTGTGCATCCCGATGCATCGCATCAACCCGAAGCCAAGTGGGGATTGCTACCCCTCCATTTGGCCGTCAATCTGCGTCCGTCCAACGACAATGACAAGTTGCTCGTGACAACCAAAACCAACACTACCAAGTCTGACATGATGATTCCCATTTTGGAAACACTCTTGGCTGCCAATCCCGCCGCGGTGGTCATGAAGGAACTCTATCAAGGACGCACCCCACTTCATGTTGCGGTATCCACTACGCAACAGTCCATGGATGGACGCATTCCCCCTGTATCGCATCAAGTATTGACGTGCCTTTTAGAGTACATTCCATCCACGGAAGCACTCTGGGAAACCGATTCTTGGGGCGATGCCGCCTACGACATTGCTCTCCGAGAATCCTCCACGGCGCGATCGTTCGTACTGCTCGACAACAAGGATCAAAACAATTGGAAACCAAATCCACTCTGGCAATTGGCGCCCACACATACTACCAATGGCGGAAATGGTGGAAGCAGCTACTATGGCTGTCCCGATCAAAAGCATTTGGAAACCATGAAGAAACTATTGCAGCAAACACCACCACCCGAAGACCATAGTTTTCACACGGATGCTACTTCGGTGACCGTCAGTCTCTCTTGTGCCAGTTTCGTTACCGAAGCCAATGATGATTCCAAAGTGGAAGAGAGGTGAGTACGGTATCTACTAGGATGGTACCACCAACGAATGGTGTGGGAGTTGACGTTGTTCCTCACTCACTCGTTGTTTGTTTTGTTTGTTTGTCTACTCAGTTTGTTGGGTGAAGCAGAGGAGGAGGAAGACGAAGAGGATATTCTTGGCAGCATTGTGGATGATGCAACCTTCATCACGGCCTACACTCATGAACGAATGTCCACGGTTGCGGAAGAAGTGGATACCATTCTCGATCCCACCTTGGAAGAACGGGATGATGACGATGATGATGCTACCATTTTGACTCTTATCAAGCCAGAAGACGCCATCCAGAGTGACGATGCCGACTTTGCCATGCAGCCTGCCGTCAAGACCCCCGACAATGTCCCCTACATTCCACGAGCGGTTCAAGTCGAAAAGGTACAATTGCAGTTGCAAGTCCAGGTGTTTCGTTTGGCTCGGACGTGCCTTCAGGGCAAGGCCTTGCGCATCAAAGCGGCTGCCACCGTCAATCCCTACTTTCAAGTGGAATTCTATCACGAACCCACCGACGTGTCGATCGTCTTGCACAAGTCCGATGCCTTTTGTCAACAGAAAGATGCTCTTTGGATGCCCGTTCGTTTCGCCATTGATGCCTCCTTGGCGCAATCCATGGGTATGCTCTTGTCGATTGATGTGTACCACAAGCATAGTGTCGACGACAGCAAGAAGAAGAAGACTGCTGACGAAATGATTGGAGGACATCAGGCATCTCCGTGGGAACTAGCGCAATCGCACAAGAAGATTCCTCTCAAGAAGGAAGGCCATCCCAAGACCGTGACAGGGCAGTTGCGATTGGTGTCCTACGAAATGACGGAATTGAACAAGAAGGACTGCTGGCGTGTGTTCTTGTAGGGAAAACAACACAATACAAACAAACGACAAACCACCACTCTCCGGCGTCCCTCTTTTTGCATTTTTGCGCAAGATCGACTTCCTGCGTGTGTTATGCAACGCAGCATCACACACACCACGGGAGCAAACAAAGAGATGCTTTTGCACAGAAATCGCACTTTTGGGAACTCGGTGCATGACTTCATGCATTCATAGCTAGATTTTACAATCCATTTTCACACAGGTACGTAGCTCCGCCGAAGACAGACAAAATACTTGGGAAAAAGCCCATGGCTACCGCCTAGCCAATGCTCCATACATTAACAATTACGAAAAGAAGTTACTTGTGGCCGTACATCCTAATCCGGTTCTAGCTAGCTTTAGAAACGGCTACGATTGAGCTAGCTCTCTGTTGTATCCGTAACCGCGCCCAGGCTGCACTTCAGAGGAACAGAATCGATGCTTCCCACATTCCTGGAATCCTTCTGCCTCCCTCAAAGGACCCTACGGTACATGTATTAGTACTGTCTCATCTGTGGCAATGACGAAGTTGTAGTTTTCATCTATTGTATGTTTACATGAAGTAATTTTATCTTTAGCTCTCGTTATTGATGACATGAATGCAGTACCGTACCTTACACACAGCAACATGACTGGCGTTCCTGACTGTGGTAGTTCTCCCGAGACATGATGCCTCTGGCCAGTTCATTACACAGGAAGATGTGGGGATACAACAGGAAGATGTAGACACCAAGACTGATCCAGTTCTTGTCCAAGCCAGAGAGAACAGCATATACAATGTGCATGGTAATGGTGATCAAAATAGGGCAGATGGTGAATGCCTTTGCGCCAATGATACCACTCAGGTGACAGATCATCACAGCACTGTAAATGGCAAAAAGTTGCCAAAAACTGTAGCTGTCAAGCATCAGAAGCTGCTTGTCCTCCTCATTTCCATATTTGTTATATAGAATGATGATGACCAGGCTAATGATACTTCCAATGAGACCAAGAGTGTCGAGTATGATGACAGCTCTTCTCATGTCACAGAGACAACCAAGAAAAGAGTGTCCTTGCTTGACTTTCTTTACAGGGTCTACATGGGACCCAATAGTGTAGACAGCAATGTTATGGCTCATTATTGATTGGTTCGTTGATTGATTGATTGATTGATTGATTGATCGATTTGTTTGCTTTCTTGTGAGCCTGAAGAAATAATCCAAATCGACTTCAGAGTATCCTTCGACTGGGCGCAGGAGTCGAATTCAAACAAGCAAGATTCAATATACCGTGACTGGACATGGCCTCAATCGGGACTGGCATAACTATGGGAAGCGGTGCGATCTTTTCGATCAAGGCGACCCCTTCTAACTCACCAAACCCTCGATGTCCCCGAAAATTTCAGAACGGTATCCTCTTGCAGTAGCCAAGCGATTGCAATGAGCAGCAATGAGATAACTCGCTCTACAGAAGCAAAAGGATGACAAAAATGAATCTGCACCAGCTGAGAATTGAACTCAGGTCTCATCGTTTTCGACCTGGCGTCAGAGGCGAGGCAGTACCTCTCTCCGACACCATCGTTGTGGCGAAAACCTATAACCTACGTTGATGTACCAAACCTCCAACCCGAACCGTTCAAGACCAACCCCTGGGGGATAACCTCATACAGCCGAGTCCGATGCGCTCTACCACTGAGCTACTGGTGCTTAGGTTTCACATACATGAATGTGCATCCCAACTACAAATACATTTTTTCTTCTTCGCAAAGCAAGGTAGATGATGCTAGAGAGAGGCACATTCAACGCAAAAGGAGGCCTTGAACTGCACCTCGGCCAATTGAAGGGAAAGAAGTCAAGTGCGCGCAACCTGCAACGGTGCATACTTGTACCAAGGAAACAACGTTAGTCATCCCCAAAGAGACCAAAGCAACGGGATGAAGCAAAAGCACCAAGCCAATAGCTACGTCTCGGGTGCCAGCAGCATTGAAGACAAGATCGTTTCTTTCATTCCGATCCAGACTACTGGTAATGTCGGTGGATCAGGCAGCTGCCTTGGGCAGCAAGACAGGCACAGGAAGAAAGCAGGGATGATCTGCTTGGAACCGTAAGGTGTGATTGCCTCCCTGTCTGATCGCCCAAATAGACCCGGCATTGCGGCATCGAAAGTTTGATATCTTGAGGTTCGCTCCCGGTGCAAGGTCGGGAGCACGAGTTCCTTCAATCCAAGAGGATGGCTGTTTCGTCGGCTTGAACTAGATAGTTTGTGGTTGTCGCTACCACAAGAGTCGGCTCGTTCCGGTCATTGCTGAACTTAGCTAAAACATTTATTATTTATTATGAAACATTGTTGTTTCTATCTATAGTGTTGCTGCTCACTCCTCCTGCTTTTGCTGTTCTTGCTCTTGTTGCGGTTGTTTAAACCAATCACTGTCCAGAGCTTCCTTCAAGGAACACCGCTGGACGGGATGGACTTTAAGCAGAGACGCAATGAGGTCTTTGGCGGCGGGTGAAATCTTATCCCAGTACTGCGGATGAAACTGATATCGCCCTTTCCGAGCTTCCCGGACAACTTGATAATCATCCCGTGCTTCGCAAAAGGGCTGGTATCCCGCCAACAACAAGTAGGCAATGACGCCGACACTCCAATTGTCACAGCGTTCGTCGTAGGGTTCGTGCGATCCTTTGTTTCGTCCAAACACTTCGGGGGCAGCGTACCAGACGGACCCGCACAATGTGAACATGTTGGGGTGGTCGTAGCGGTTCCCCTGATCGTCTCGAAATCGCTTGGCGAGTCCAAAGTCGGCCAATTGAATGTGCGTATCGTGTTCATCGGATGGAAGCAGGACGTTTTCGGGTTTGATATCGCGATGCGCGACCCCGCGGGTATGTAAAAAGTGGACGGCGGACAGCAGTGTATGAATAACTTGACGTCCTTCCGCTTCCGGGTAACAACTCTTTTGGGACAAGCGACTCAACAAATCGCCCTTCATTGCAGCCATGACGAGATAGACCCGATCAAATCCGAAAAAGATATCTTGGAGTGTCACAATGTAGGGACAGTCACTCAAATGTTGTAGAATATCAATTTCTTCGCGATTGTAGTATTGCGCCGGAATTACCTTGACGGCCTTGACGACATTTTTGTCGTTGGTATCATCTTTCTTGGAATCGTCTTTGTCGGTAGCGGTAGTAGCAGTAGTAGTGATCGTGTTGTTGTTATTGTCGCTGGATTTGGCCACACACGAGTAGACCACCCCAAATCCTCCTTCTCCAATGGCCTGACCCATGGTGTACGTGTCGGAAAATACGCGATTGCGAGTCCACGCCATGGCAAAATGAGGAGGCTCCTGGGTAGCATGTGTTTTCTGCGCGGCCACTTGATAATTCCATCGCTGGAGTTCACTTAAAAAGGGCAATTCTTGCTGCGGAGCGGCAATGTGGGGGTAATGAATTAAATTTTGTCCACTGGGAATATCTTGTAGAAATGGCAGTGGTGTCGCCTGATGATGCGTATCATCGCCTTGCATTTCACGGAGGAGACGTTGTTGGCGTTGGAGGACTTCATCTAAATACGGAAGTGGCTGACCATTGTGATCCAGTTGGGGATGAGGGTGCATACCGGTAACGAGGGGGTTCTGTTGTAGTTCTCCTAGAAACGGGAGTGGCTGTGTTCCTCCAAAGATTGGAGGATGAGGGTTGTTGGGCTGCCATTGCTGGATTTGTCCTAAAAAAGGCAGAGGAGCCGTAGAACCTGGAACGGAAGGAACCATGTTTGGATCTTGCTGACATTGACTGGTGTGGTCCAGTGGAAGTGGTTCATCATCATCGCCTTCAGTCATCATGACATCCACGTAGTATCCACTGTTGGTACGGTGCCAAAACATGTCCATGCCTTCGTCCTCTTCATGAATATCACCAGTGGTAGTAGTCTTAGCAGTAGTAGCACCGTGTAGCTTCATGGGAACCACGCCATTGACTTGATCGGATCCCATGGAAGACCACGACGAATCGTCCTCAAAGTCCTTGTGATTGCTATGGCTGTTGTTGTTATGATTGCTGTTGCTGTTGCTGTTGTTGCTGTACCGTTTGGACGTGACGCGACGCTTGTGACGAGACTGCGAGATGTGGTGGGAGGAACAAGTCATGGCGGTAGTGGGAGCGGTCAGGCCTTCTTCGTGTTCTTCTTCATCTTCTTCTTCACAGCCGCGCATGTGAAAGCTCATGGTCGGAACAGATCCCAACTTATCGAGGCTACCATTAGAAATTTCGCTGTCGTCCAACATCACTGCCACTTGCACCATGTTATTCTATTATCGAACTACTATTATCACCTTCAGGTAACTATAGTAACCACTACCGCTTAGGAGGTCAACAGGTAAGGCAAGATCACTTGCTTCTTTCTTTCTCCGCTGATCAAGTCCGGTCTATGAGCTTCTCTCGACGAAACAATACCCGCCATGTTTATGAAACATCGCGTGGCCACTGCTTTGGCAACCGGTACATACTTACAAGTGATCAAGTAGCGTTAACTCACGCTGACTGTGTGATCTTGCAAACAATATCTCCATTTTAAATCTCAACAAGACCAACGGTCATACCAGAGAGACCATGCCTCTTGGTAATTAACACTGACAGTCACTGTCTATACATTGGGTAACTTGGAAATAGGAACCTCATTCACACCAAGACAAAGGAGACATGGGGCTTTGTGAGGATGTTCTCCTGAGATCTTAGCCAGCATAAATGTTGGGGTATCCAGCTACCGGTACCGAAGCTACCAGGTAGCACTTCCGCACCAATAATCTGGACACCACCAATCCAAGTAGTCAAGGTCTCTAGCTCTCCCCGCACATACAGGATAAAGTTGAGGATCTGGCAAGATGGTCTCCACTCCTTGAGATATTTTTAAAAATTAAACAACAGTTGTACATGTAAGGACGCAAGGATCGCCTCCATTTTCTGGGCTCAGGCTTTGGAAGCCGCTACTATGGGCTGACTTTTTTCACCGCTGACAGGTGTCAAAATGGATTCTCGTTTTAGCCAAACCAAATTTGGAAGCAGTCATTTCTAACAAAAAGAGTCATTTCGCGAATCCTGCATAGCAATGACTACTTCCTAGAAAGAAAAGATTGAAGAAAATAAATGAATTTTACCACCATGGCAAAAGTGTTGACCAAATGGCCATTACTGGTAGCTTTACCAATACATGTACATTGATCTGATTGACTCTTTTCTGTAGACATTGGCTGGTGGCTGGTCATCAAAAACCATGGTTGAAATCGCTATACGTTTCGAGATCACTCGTTTCACCGAAAACCATTCTCTAGCTAGTAGCAGGGATGCTACTATCATCTCGCCCACCTCCAATACATGTATGTGTACCGTATGGTATGGACTCAACACAACAAGGTCTTTAGAAGTCTGGCTGGGCTAGCTAGCTGTGGAGTTGAGACACCAGGTGAGAGACTTTCAAGTTTATAAAATATCATCACCCGCCCAAGCAACGAGCCACCTTTGAAAGGGACAATCGGACAGAACCTACATCCTACATGCAGTCTACTCGTACTTAGTAGTCTACCGTACTGGTACCATAGAAGTTAGAAGTTCGAGGGCACTTCACTTTTCATCCTTTTAAATCTTTCTAGAAGGGAGACCATGCTTTAAGTACTGGAAGACACACAGACCTACAGACACGCGGACAGACAGGCAGACAGACCCAGACCCACGGACAGCAAAAAGTTCAAAAGTTGGCTGGTTGCTGGATGAGCTGCGTCAACCAAACGCACACGATTTACAGATTGGATGAACACTCTGGTGCGGTACGGTACCAAGTATCCTCTACCACCCAGCCATACCCCCCCCTCGATCCTATGATACGGTCGGTGGTACCGTACAGTACGAAGCCGCACAATCTTTAGTTCCCGTAATCGGCAATGATGAACCCACCTCAACCCGTCGAGGATGCACATGCAGAGGAGGTTGCTGCCGAAGCACATCCGGAAGATGTAAACCACCAAGATGAACGAGGACCTCCAAACGATGAAGTGGCTTTGGACGATTCCAGCAGCGGCACGAATTCGGGCAAAATGTGGCTGAGTGACCAAGAGCGCGAGTGGGCATTGACAATCCGAGAAGCCATTGACAACGACCCGGAACTGGATTCCATCAGTGATTTCCAATGTGTGCAACTAGCACTGGTAGTCAAACAAGACGCACTTGAAGATGCCCTGGAACGAGCCCATCGATTGCAGTGCTTTCGACAACAGTACGAGATCCGAAACACCAGCAGCGATGCCAAGATGAGACTTCCGAGGTTTCTGGATTTTTTCCCTGGCTACGTCCTGACAGTGTCTTATATGCATGATTCTGATTCCCAGTACTGCTGCATCGACGCTCGAGCCTTTCAACAGGCAAAAGTCACTTCTGAAGGGGGCTTTTGCACCTTTATATCCGGCCTGTACTACATTTACGAGGGCCTGAATCCTGACTTTAAATCCATGAGAAATGGAACCAACATGGTATTCGAGTGCGGGGGATTTGACTTCACCATGATCAGCCACAAGATCAGTCGCCGGTTGTGCGAAGAGTTCTATGCCACGTATCCCATCAACTGTCGACAAATGAACTTCTTTCATTCTGGCGTCTTTGTGGCATTGCTACTGTCTCAAAGCAAACGGTTCCTGCCGAAGGAATTATCATCCAAGTTCCACACGGGGTGCGTGTTTGAAGGTGGTAGGCTAGATTCCTTTTATCTGTTACCCAACCTAGAGGCGGCCCAAAAACGAGTCTTGGGGCGGACCATGGAGTGTCTGACAGAAAGATATGCGAATGACGAGAGCTTTCGTCTCTAGTAGCCGGCCAAATCTAGAAATCTATTGCCATGATTGTGATTGCTATTCTGGCGTGGGCGAGCGCAGTCTTTTCATTGCACATGCAGCCGCGTACCCACACCTACACTTGTGCGGTATAGTATGCGAAAGCTCCTGGCTGACCAAAGGTAGTGACAGGAATGTTGGGAGACGTTCTGGGACATCGTCTGCCGCTTGTACTCTTTCCTGAACGACGTAGCTAACAAACAGGAGGAATCAAGTGACCCACTAGTAAGGACGAGAAAAGTTAAAGAGTGTCAAAAGATGCTTAGCTGAGCTCATTGCTCCGTTTGGACTATCAACAGACCGTCTGCCTCCTGTTCGGATTCCGTGCAGTGCTATTAGAGACTCTTCTGGCGTCTCGTCGCAAGCCAATTCCAGCACCGTATGGTTCAAATTCCAAGCTACTACGACGATTTCCATAGTCAACCATACTGACCACATGGCAAGAAGGGCAAATCACATACTGAATGCCCCACACACATGCCAGAAAGCATTGGCAAGAAATGCATTTGGTGATTTGATGTTCGTTCTTGTGCAACGCGTCGAGGGTATGAGAGGCGCCGTAGTAAGGCGCATAGCTTCCTGGCCCCACTTCAATCATTGGGTTTCCTGGCTCGTTTGCTTCGTTGGAGGCTGCAGGGGCTACGTTGGGCAAGCTTTCCGTTGCGGTGTTTGGCGGTGAAGAGGGGGATGACGGGGGCACGCCCGTGGCGAATGTCGTAACGGGCCGGTTTTGTGAAGTTGTGGCGGTACCGGTATTGGTGCCCACCGCTGCCGCCGCAGTTGCTCGCACCCTGAGCCTATAGGCTGCCAAGGATGCGTGAAGCTCTAGCAGGTGTTCGTATATCCCAGTGTTTGACGTCGTTGTTTCATTCGGTGCACTTGCCGCTTCATGGTGGAACTCCTCAATGGACTCCGGTGGATATTGAAGATCAGATGCGGTTGCTTCGGTCTTTTGCGGCCTTGTGTTTCCCCAATCCGTTTCTCCTAGTTCTGGGGTCTCCATCAAGGAGAGTTGACTGCTCAGGGGATAGAGTGACCGGCGCCGATTCCGAGGCACCCGTCTTCTTCCGGGCGTAGATCCGTTCTGTGAGAGAGCTCCAACACGGGCACGTACATGAGTCATCAACGCAGGAGCTGCAGCACCATATGGGGAGCCTGGTCCGTCCTTTCTCGCGAGAACCAGATTGGAAACATCAAACACCTGTCCGTCTAGGCAGAGGGCGAAGCAACTGTTGGTGCTGTGGCGGCGGTTCATGGCTGGTTGTTTGGCTGTTTCTGCCTTTCTGTGTTTGCTTTGCAATGGGAAGAATGATGGGTTTGGCTTTCCAGTTGCCAGAGCTTTGCCAGTAGCTAGTAGCTAGTAGCTAGTAGCTAGTAGCTAGCTAGCTAGTGTCGACGCTAATACCGTAGCTTTAGAGGCAATATCGAACGTGAATGTGAAAAGCTGCGAGGATGCCAGGATGTTGACAGAGGACACAACTCCGCACGAACCTCGGTACAGCTGTACATGTAACGATTACTACTATTAATACTAGTAATAGAGGATAGCTACTAGTATTTTAAATTGTACTGTACATGTATAATTGAGCCAACCAACAAACCCGCAAGACACCGCTCGAGTAGTCCACAGCTGTTCCGGTCGCGGCGACTGTTCCGAAGGAGCACCTCTAACTACATAATTCCAGCTATAATTTCTCAGCTGTTATTTCATCGTGGCTATTATTAATTAATAGATCTTTCACTGCCCACAATAGTTCATTGACTCTCCTCTGTTGTAAGAAGTAATGTACAGTACAATCGTACAAGCTATGGTACATCAGGTTGCACAAGCCAAGCTAGGGTGTGACTGGACTCTTACAGGTAATTAAGATCTCCAAGCCATGGAACAAGTAAGTGAACCTCACCTACCTCGGCTCTCTTGCCCAAAAAGCTGCAGCCCAGTTTGTGCGTTCAGCGTTGAGCGTGGAGCGTGCAGACAGCAGATAGCAGATCTGATACTGAGTACAGATGACAAACATTATGCTAGACTAGTCCGCTCTCCACGCCACAATCGACTTGAAGTTAGTTCGAACAATCGACAGCACTGCATTGTACTCACGTTCTGAGGTACTTTAGGCTCTTTGGTTCATGGTTGCTGATTTGCTAAGTGTGATTCGCTTCAAAGGGATCATTTATTATTGGCTTAGAGCCAGTTTTTCCGTATTGTCATCAAACCAACCCTTCTTCTCCTCTACTCGAGCACGATAATTGCGACAGTTTCGAGAGATGTCTACTGTCTACTAGCTAGCTTTAGCAAGCTTCTCCTGTGAAATGCGATTATTTAGTTTGAGTTATAGGGGCAAGATTCTTAGCCCTGCTTATTGCTGGAGACTTCGAGCGCAAAAATGCTTCTTTCTACAGACTCCAGCCAGTAAGAGTTGAGAGTAACTGTTGAGCTAAAACTGTTGACAGTTGAGAGTTGAGAGAGAAGCTCAAAGCAACCTCCTCGTGGCTGGACACTCTCTTTGCCTTAGAGGCAGCACAATATCGATATCATAACCAATAGCCCCAAGATCTCGACCGCATGGTACGACTGACTGTAGATAGCGGGAAGCTTATCGCGTTGTCACGTCAGTACCGTACATGTACTAGTATTAATACACGCACAAAGTGCGACAAACCACCTGTTTCCTCTTCAATTGATTTAGTTATCAATCGTGCATCGAGAAACCTCATGCGTGTCGTCGAGAGCCCACGAGCCACCACCTTCTTTTCCCCTCCCGCCAAGAGCCGAGCAACATGTACCGGAACGTACATGTGGGTTGTGGGTACGGAGTGGCCAGAGTATGGAATCTTGAGCTAAGCCTTTGCGGCTTCCGCCGAGGAACCGTCCAGAGGTGTGGAATCTTGAATGTGTCAATGATCCGATCGAGACTTTAATAAGACGACACCAGCAGCACACCACCGGGCGATGGAGAAAATCCAGTCTTCCGGTCCACCAGCTATTGATAAAGAGTAAGGCATGCAAGGACAGGCAAATGCAAGTTGACAGACGGGAGTGGTGATGAATCCAATCTTGCGTGATGGTGGCTGCCAACCCACACTGACGATTGAAAAATCAATTCTGAGAAGTACCTGGGATACGAGTACATGTAGTTAGTTGTACTTGCAGGATTTGGGGGGCCGTTGAGCATTGTACCGGCACTAGCTAGCAATTCATTTGCGTGGGGGGTACGTGCATCGGGATGATGGGATCACGCGAGAAGAACCAGGACACCAGGACTAGCTACAATGGCACACAACCAGAGGGACACTACATGTATTGGCAGGAGATCAGAGATATATCAAACGCACGAGCTGGTCAGCGTGGGTCTATTCACTCAGCTACTCAGCTCACCTGCCGTATGGGGGGTCCTGGCTACGGCGGGCCATCCAAGCAAGAAACTGCGCTGTATCTTTCTGGTTTGTCTGGTCGCTGCCTCCTCCACCAGGCTTGAGTCAATCATGTGTGGCAATAATGGATCTTTCACTGAGAACCTCTGAGTACATTCGACATAACAGAGTAGTCATCACAATAGAAACATTGAAACAATTGCAGAAACAGCTACATTGAAACCAGTTTAGTTCGCCACCACAGCAACGGTTGGAAAAGGCCACATCAGTATGGATTCCTCATGCACTCCTCAGGAGAGTGTCACAATCGTCTTTGTCCATTAAGCTTTGCAAGCACAATTACACCCACAAAAGTGATCTGTACAGTCAGTCCTGACCTCTTCCACATCACAAAGCAGCTCTGGGATGGAACCTGTGAAATTGTTTCCATTCAGATACAGCTCTTCAAGAGTATCAGTGGAGTCACTCGAGTCAAACAAACTAAAGAAGCCAGAGCTCCTCTTGGCCAGCTCCAGCGGAATTGTCCCAGTAAGATGATTGTCATTCAACAAGAGTTTCTCCAGCCTTGACATTCTACCAAACTCTGTGGGGATTGGGCCGGTGAGTTCGTTTTGACTCATCTCCAAGCGCCTCATGTAGATCAGCCTTCCGAACTGGGTGGGAATAGATCCAGATATTGAGTTCTTGTCCAAGTTTAGCCCCCGAAGATACCGGATCCTTCCAAACCTACTGGGCAATGTTCCATTGAGCATATTGGAATCCAAATGCAAACTGCGCAATCTACTCGCCCTGGCTAGCTCTGAAGGAATGGAACCCGTCAATTCATTCTTGTAGAAGTACACGGTGCGGATCTTTGAAAGGGTGCCAAGCTCAGTTGGAAGCGAACTAGCGAGGTCATTCTCTTGAAGATAGAGTTGCGAAAGACGTGACATTTGTCCAATCTCGGAGGGGATTGGACCTGCCAAGCGACAATCTAGCAGGCGAAGAGAATATAGATTGGTGAGCATTCCAAGCTCAGAGGGGATGCCATTGAGTCTGTTTTCACTCAGTTCAAGAATGGTAAGGTTAGCCAACAATCCTAATTCTGTTGGAATCTGAAGTGGTGCAACATGCACAATCACAAAAGAAGAGACAGTTAGACATGGAGTGTATTCTCCTAACTATTTGATTCTGTGCTCACCTCGCCTGTGAATGTGTTCCTGTCAAGAAACAGCCACGTCATGTCAGATAGTTTGCCCAGTGTTGTTGGGATTGTGCCTCGAAGCCTGCCACCTTGTAGATTCAGCAGTGTCAACTTTGTAAGCAGTCCAACCTCTGTTGGAAGCTAAGCATGATGGAAATTTTAGGTGTATGAGTGTTATGGTAAGAAATCGATAGTTTTCACACTGCCAGAGCAAATTCTCAATACGCCCTTAACTTACCGTTCCAGTCAATTCGGCAAGAGTGAGTGAAGACAGTTGATCAAATTGTGCTACTGCTTCAAATGGAACAGTAGAGCCAACATCCAGTGCTAGAACTTGTAAGCTGGACAATTCCCAGAGCTCATCCGGGATCTTTGATGGATCAAATGACACCATACACAAATGAGGTCAGTTTGTTCTCACAATGGCACACACATACATTGACAGAGTAAGAATAGAACTTACTCCCTCCAAGTCTCTGTTTTGTGCCAAATTGATATTCGCCAGGTTGGTCAAAGTCGCTAACTCAGAAGGAATGGATCCTTCTAACTGATTGGAGTACAAACGAAGCACTCTCAAATCTGTTAGGAGTGCCAGATACGAACCAACCAAATGTCCTCCAATTTCGTTATTGTCAAATTGAATGGATCTCAAATTGGAAAGCCAAAACAGCTCTGGTGGCAAAGTCCCAATCAAGTTGTTGAATGGGAGGTGCAACTGTTTGATTGTACCATCCCCTTCCACCAGCATCCTATCATCGAAAGTTGGGCGCCATAGGTATTCAGTTGAAAGATCTTCAGGATACATAACATAGTCATCGTCATCCCAGAAGGTATAATTGTTTGTAAAGTTGCTTGTGGCATTGCTGCTGAATTCTTCCACTAGAGTCGAAATGTCGTTGTCACAAGGAGGATTCCCATCTGAGTACCAATCACATTCATGGACACTGTAGTTGAGCCATCCAGAATTGCCATCCCATCGCCTCCCACCAGTTGCAAAATAAAAAGTTGCTAGAGCCATCCGTTGCAAGATTCTGTCATCTGAATAGGTGTTGGTGGTAGTGAGTTCTGGATCCTTGAGCAACCATCGAAAAGCTTCAGCTTGTGGACTAAAACGACTCTCCATGGCTTCCAGCGTAGAGTTTGGGAAGAGGCCTCGAATGTGTTCGTCCAAAGAGATGTCACTGGGAGGAGGATCGTTTGGATTGGCCGCTGCCATGTCAGCCTGCCCTTCCGAATCCCCGCCGGGAATCAGTGTGGCACAGAGAACAATGACAATGATGAGGACGGCCAAAAAAGCAACTCCCACATAAGCATACATGAGTTTTTGGTTGGGCTTTTGGCTTTCATTTTTGGCTTCTTGTCCAGCTCCTGTAGCAGACTGGACAGCCGCTTCTAATGGATCGTTTGGATTGTGAGCAACACCGGCACTGGCGGTGGGAGCCGCGGGGACAGCTCGATTGGCGGTCTCAATGTCGCGTCCACTAATATTTGGCTGTTCCGAGTTGACTCCTCTCGATCCCTCGAGTTCCATCTGGCTAGAGCCGGTACCCAAACCGGTATAACTCACAGCCGCAACCGCCTGATAACCAACACCTGGTGCTCCACTGTATGCTCCTGGACGTTGGCCTGTGGCAAGGAGACTCTGCTTGAGTGGACTCCCCGTCGCATCGTACTCCATGGCTGCTGCTGCTGTGCTATTGTTGGTGCTGGGTTCTTCTCCATCCATTTGTGCCCGCTGAGTATCACTTCCAACAGCAACCTGAATCATCTCGGTCACGTAATCTGCTTGTGAGAATGTTGCTGCTGCTGCTGTGTTGGTGCTAGGTACACCTTTCTTTTGCACCTTGGTTTTGCCAGCCCCAGCATCGTCTGTGGTATTAACGCTGCTTCTCATCGCCACAACCTTCATCAAGTGGAGCTCGTCGTCGTCGTCTTTTCCTTGCTGATTGGCTGCATCCTCGCTGATTTTCCTACCCGTGCCAGAACTTCTGATACTGCCCACCATGGCACTTTTGCCCACTTCTCTCTCTTTGGGTGATGGCTTTCTGTCTTGATCCGATAATGATGATGACGACGGAGCTGTCATGACTGCTGCCTGTCGAGTAGACATGGCTGCTTCCTGTCGTCGCTGAAGTTCTTCTCGCTTGATATCATCATCGGATCTTTTCCCTGGTTCGGCTGTTTCCTCCGTGGCACCTCGGCTTCTTTCCATCACTACTTGCTCCAGCGACGCGTCTAGTGGATCGCCTTCTTCGGTCAACATGCTTGCGGCGTCGCTTCTCTCTCTTCTGCTACTATCACGGGTAGACGACATCTTCTGCAGGATCCTTCTTTCTCTTTTTGTGTCTCTGAAACCTTCATTCCTCGACGAGGAGAGGGCTGAACTGGCAGAAGGGTTCGGAGCTAGCTAGAGTACCAGATAGACACCCCTGAACTGGCAGCCGCTTGGAATGACCTGTATGCTTACAGTACCACCTACCTGGTACACCTAGCACCTAGCTACTGTAGTACGGGTACCGGGTCCCCCGGATGACTGGACTGGTACCTGCAGTAACTCGCCCGGCTTGATCCATGCTTGCCCGCGCTGGGTCGCCAAATTTGTAAAACGATAAAATAGAATCTCACAATATCCAAGGATAGAGCACTGTAATTACAGCTAACCCCTTGGTTTCGAGCGAAAGAAACTAGCGAAAGAACTGAGATAACGACCATGAGTAAAATCAAGCCCTGCATCGTCTATGCCGAAGAGTTCGATCCGTCCAACTGTGTCCAGTACAAGTTGGAGAATGCGGCTGGAGATCGGAGTAAGAAGGTGCCCATCTTTACGGCATCGTACGGAGTTGAAGGTCTGTTTCACGTGGTGGATCGATTCAACAAAGCTGCGGAACGGATGAATTTCGCGATTGGAGACAAGTGGTCCACATTTGAAGACGTTCTGGACTCGGTTGCGCAACGCAAGTGGAACAACCTCGTCCAGAACATTGCGGCTGGAGCAAGGACAAATGCTCGTTTCGACCAGGAGATCGCCAACTTCGTGCATCAGTATGCAGGACACGACCACCCTCGTGATGTTCTGATCAAGTACATCAAGAGCGACGACTGTCTCAAACCACGAAAGGTGGACGTCAGCGTTCACGCTTCAAGGATTGAGACGCTATGCAGGTATGCTAACCGTCTTCGTGGACAAGACACTGCATTGACTGAGGATCAAATTAAGGTCCGTGTTTTCGAAGCGTTCCCACACATTTGGCAGAACCATTACCGACGTAGTCGTTGTGAACTTGCCGAGGATTCGATCACGCAGATCGTCCAGTACATGAACCTGTGCAAGGGTATTGCAGATGAAGAGGAGACGACTCGTGGTAAGAAAAGGAAAGCTAGCGACACGGAACGTGTTCGCGGTGGTGGAAGCAACAACAAGACCGACACGAAGAAGAAGAAGACAGCGGACGCGAATGACACTTGTCCAGTTCACGGAGAACACAAGTGGGGCGACTGTTCATTGAATCCGAAGAGCCGCAACTACGGTATGTACCAGCGAAACAACTACAATCACGGAGGACGTGGTGGTGGTCGTTTCGGAGGTCGTGGAGGCAGTGGCTATGGTGGACGCGGCTTTGGTAGAAGTGACAATATGGGACGCGGTTCTTATGGCGGTCGTGGTTTCAATGGACGTGGCGGAGGCTACAACAATTCTGGAAGAGGTGGCTACAACGACAGTGGACGTGGCGGTGGCTACGAGTCCCGATACTACCAACCATCATCTATGCATTATGAACAACGAGACGGACAACCTGGGTCTCGTTCTGGCTGGACGCAGCCTGAGTCTCATCGTTTCGACGTACCATCCGATAGGAATGGAGGTTGGCAATCCGGAAGCGGTTCATGGAATGGACCTTCGTCTCGCAACAACCACTGGTGACTTCAACAGGAAGTTCCGAGGTTTCGGACCAGTATGGAAAGCAACTTTATCGATTCCTTGGACGGTGTCCTTGGTAGTGGTAATGATGACAGTAAGAAAAAGTTAAGTTCTTACTTGAATGAGTTGAAATCCAATGTTCGAGATGATGATACAGTGACGACAGCTTGTCTCACTGAAGATGATGATGAGTCGGTTGACTCCATCGAAAGCGAGGTGTCTGAAGAGGTCTATGAGATCTTTATTCCGACACCCAAGGTCAAGTATCAAAGGGATGAGGATCTCATTCCATGTTCTATGTTGATTGCACGTACTATTAACCAAACACCTTCTGTTCAATTGTTGAAGGTCCTCTTCGATTCAGGTGGCACGGCTTGTCTTATTAACCGGAAAGCCTTACCCAAAGGCTGTACGCCATCACTATTGGAGAGCCCAGTAGAGACGAAGACAGTGGAGGGTGCTTTCTCGGCCAAGGCGACAGTTCGACTCGACAACATTGCGCTACCTGAGTTCGACAAGAACAAGCAGATCGAACAACAACACGCTCTTGTGTTCGATGACACATACAGCCACTACGACATGATTTTAGGTCGGGACTTCCTTCGTCGCATCGGAATGAAACTGGATTTCGAATCAAGTCTCATGCAATGGATGGGACACACGGTGTCTATGAAGAATCGTTCGTCATGGTTTGATGACCCGCAACAGTTCTTGATGGACGCAACCGACGTGGACGACGAAATAGAGTCGCATGTCACTGCCATACTTGACGCTAAGTATGAAAAGGTAGACCCGATGGAAGTGGCTGAAAAACAAACACATCTCACACCTATGCAACGCAAACAGCTTGCCGACCTCTTTTCTAAACACAGCAAACTGTTCGATGGGACGCTAGGGAAGTATCCACATCGGCAGCTCCATTTCGACGTTGAACCAAATGCTACTCCAGTGCACACTCGTCCATACCCTGTTGCTCACGCTCATCAAGCCATTTTCTTGAAGGAACTCGAACACTTGGTAAACATTGGCGTGTTAAGAGGACCAGTCGGTGCTACTGCAATACACGGCTCTTAGCCTTATTCGCGACTCGATCCTAGATAGGGTTTGAGTTCGACTCATGACTGAGTCTCTCGTGAATAGTCATTCGAGACGGGGTTCTCAATGACCGCGCTAGTCATACTAGGTTGATGATGAAACATCGCTCTAGATATTTAGCCAGCGTGGAGTACTTCCACGCTACTAGATCCAGGCTAGACAAACCTTCCACGCGTTCCGTTTTAGGATCGTGGAGAGACGTAGGATTACTACCACAACCTACTCTATCACACTTTATAGTCTCCCGCGGGAAGCCAGATCTACGATCCTTTGATGATGATCTCTCTCGTTGATTAGTTTTCATAGCTTTCTAATCTCTCTCATAACTTTCATTCTCTCAAACTCAAAACACTCGAAAGATCTTTACACTAGCTTTTAGCGTAGTGCACTACGGAATGGGGATCGCCAACGTTTATTATCCCGAAGAAGGATGGTCGTGTTCGATGGGTGAGCGACTTTCGAGAACTGAACAAAGTACTCAGACGACGTGTCTATCCGTTGCCACGAATCCAAGAGATACTGACCAAACGCAAAGGCTTCGAGTTCTTCAGTAAACTCGACATCTCCATGCAATACTACACATTCGAACTGGATGAAGAAAGCAAACAGCTGTGCACTATCGTCACACCTTACGGAAAGTATCAATACTGCCGGTTGCCAATGGGAGTCAGTTGTGCTCCTGACATGGCGCAAGAGATAATGGAGGAGATCTTCCGTGACGTCGAAGATGCAGAAGTATACATTGACGACGTTGGAGCGTTTAGCGAAGACTGGGATTCTCACTTGCGTCTTCTAGACATCGTCCTTTCTAAACTACAGGAAAATGGATTCACGGTCAATCCACTCAAATGCGAATGGGGAGTCAAGGAAACTGACTGGCTGGGTTACTGGTTGACGCCCATTGGACTGAAACCGTGGAAGAAGAAGGTCGATAGCATTCTCCGTATGCAACCACCACAGAACGTCAAACAACTACGTTCCTTCATTGGGGCCGTCAATTACTATCGCGATCTGTGGCCTCGCCGTTCTCATGTTCTTACACCTTTGACAGACCTCACAGGCAAAGGCAAATGGGCATGGAATGCAACTCACGACAACGCATTCAAGGAAATGAAAGCGCTTGTCGCGGCTGACGCCTTAATGGCGTATCCAGATCACAACAAGCCATTCGAGGTCTACACCGATGCATCTGACTACCAGATTGGAGCTTGCATCATGCAATCAGGACGCCCTGTTGCCTACTACTCTCGCAAGCTCACCAAAGCTCAACGTAACTACACAACGATGGAGAAAGAGCTGCTCAGCATTGCAATACACGGCTCTTAGCCTTATTCGCGACTCGATCCTAGATAGGGTTTGAGTTCGACTCATGACCGAGTCTCTCGTGAATAGTCATT